TACTTCACAAGCTGTAAAAATAATTGATTCAATCATGATTTTAATACTGAATTCCCATTAATTCAATTATTATTTATTTAAATTACAATAATTTAGATATACAAAGGCATGTAAACTTTGAATAATACATATGTATATATATATATATATATATAAACACAAAATCTACACTTGTATGTATATTATATTTGATGGATAGATTTCTAAAATTATTTCTAAATTTTTATTTTATTCCATAAGTCATATTTTATTTGATTTTATGAATATTTAGAAAAAAATTATGATACTTTTTTAGTATGATTATTACAAGTTTTTTTGAAGCTCATTGAAATTATAATATGATTGTTGTTAATAGATAAAAGAAAAAAATATTACATAGTTTTCAGAAGATATTTTGTAAATCTTATTTTTAAAACGACTTAGAAAAGAATATTACTTAATTAAAATAAATACAGTTATGAAACTTAAAAAAATAAACATAAATTTTTAAGATAAATATTTTAGTGTAATTTCTATATAAACTTTTAAATTATTTTATAAATCGTATAATTATTTTTATTTTTTATTTTTATTTATTTGTTATAATATTATAGTGGTAAATATTTAACAAGTTTATATTAGGCATGATTGAGATTTTACAATTAGAATTTGAACCACCAACCCTCTTTGGAATAAATTTAAAACTCTCGGGTGTAACCTATGTATATATCTAGTAGTTTAATCATTGCCACATCCTTCTAATGATTTTTTTTTTTCTCTCTTAATGTAAGAAATTTGATATGAAATCATTAAAAATTATGTCCTATATTTAAAAAATAAGAAATATTTTTAGACTTGTAGTTTAAGACACCATTTTTAGGATGCTAAAAAGTAGCTATTGAGCTTCAAATAAAAAACCATCCCAATTATGTAGCTCTATTTTTATTTACATTGCCTATTTATCTTCATTTGTATTCTATATTAAGTAGAATATAGGACAAATAGGAAAAGTTGTGCCCTATATTACACAATTTAGGATAATATTCGAATGTCCTATATTCAAAGGATTGGATCATTGCGGACTATTATCTTAGGTTTTCAATGGAAAAAAAACTAAACAATATGAGTCCATAGTTTATAACAATGTGTATATCTCTATATATTTTTATTCTTGTATTTATATTTTATAATAAATTAAAATAATATATATATATATATATCTTATTTTTTAAAAAATAAAGATTTATTAATATTATTAATATTATTTTATTTTAATCAAAATATTTTAAATATGAAAAGATAAAGTAAATATTATTAAAATAAAAATAAATATATATATATATATATATATATAATATTTCTAATGCCACCACAATTTACTATCCATCCTATGCCACTATAATTTTTGCTATTGCCATCATAATCTACTATCAATTACATTATACATATAACCTTTGTTAATGGTAAATAAATAAGTGTAAAATTTTAAAAAGTAATTGTTTTTACTTTTTTCATTTAATTTTTTTACTAATAAAATATATATTAAAGATTTAGTTAATAAGATAAATTTTTAGTTTTTTATATTTTTAAAATATAATCTAAATTTTAAAAAATTATTTATTAAAAATAATATATCAAATAAATTAATTTTTTTTATGAAAAAAAGAAAAAAAAAAGATACAAGTTGTGGTGGCAATATATATATATATATATATATATATTAAATATATTATTTTATAAAATTAATAATATGATCATTTATTTTATTGGATTTATTTTAAAAAATTGTAACTATAAAATAAGAGCTTTATTTGGCTTAACAATGATTAAAGATGTAAGTTTGAGTTAAACTTACAATAGTTTAAAGTAAAAGCATTTAAACTAAATTTTATAATATTTAAAGTAAAGATTAAATATATATTTTATATATAAATTAAATAAAAAATCTTAAATATTAATCTATTTATTTATTATTACTAACCAACTTCATAAACTTAGCAAAAGATCTAGATTTGTAAAGTTTATACAATAGGAAAAACTTGAACTTGAAAGATTTGGAGAATAAGAAAAAAGTCTAGACCAATAGGATTATCATAGTAACAATAATCCAAACCAATGAGCATAAGGTATGTCCTATAAAGTTTTGCATTGTAATACACATCTTATAATTGTATTATTACTGATAATACTTATAAGTTTACATGCAAGCATATGAAGGTGTTTGTTACTTGTTTATTTATGCAATTAGGTGGATATTGATATTGAGATATTTTTGTTTGGGGTGTTGTCAAAGACCAATTTTTATTCAATAATTAAACAAGGAGTTGTGAATGATATTGACAATTGGAATAAGTTAGTTGGCAAGATTTTAACATATAGAAGCTACAATAGAGATTTTTCGTTTTTAGATTTTTCTTTAATAAATTATAATCAATTTTTTTTTTAAACAAAGTATTACTTGTAATACTTTGTAATATCACTGTTGATATTGTTGTTTACAATCAACATTTCTTTGAAATGCATTAAATGATGAAGTAACTTTTAAAAAGATTATAGTAAGAAATATTATTTAATATCTTACTTGTGGTTCTACTATCACAAAAAATAGTTTCTGGTTGTGCGTCAATCGCATTTGTGGATTCTGTAAAAAGCATTTGCTCAAATCCATTCTCACTGTCAGTTTTTCTCGGACATGAAAAGTCTGATTTTCCATGAAACATCAACACAAATCATACATCTCATCATCTTCCTATATTTTCCTCAATAAAAAAACCATCACATAAATTATATGTATGTATATACATATATATATATAGATACGTGGTAATTGGTTGACTAGTTGTTTTGGTTTCTGCCCTACAGTGAAAAATGTAGAGACGCTCATGGACAGGGCGAAGGTTGCAAGCTCCATCAGCAGAAGCAGCAGCAGGATTGTGGAGGAGCATTCAGTGTGCCGATATCGATGCATTCAGTTGTGGGGTCTGGTCTGATCCATGAACCCCATATCTTGAAGCTGCAGGATCTGATCTGATCTTCATCTGAAGAGGTGCCGATACCGGCCTTCGGTGTCCAGCGCCCAACAAAGATATGACGGCCAGGCGGTGACCTTCATGCCTCACGATTTGTGCCGTGCGCGGCATAGCTCGCTATAGCTCGCGAAAGCCTGATCTGCAGGAGTGTGGGTTTCTCTGGAAGATGCTGAAAGTGTTTCATAACCCCGCACGTCGACGCAGTGTGTCTGCTTTTCGCGAGATGGTTCGGTGAAACTGCAAGGAAGTCGCGTCAACTCCATGGAAAAGGCACAACACCAACCGAGGGAAACATAAAATAACGGGGAAGGTGCTCGCGGAGGGCCTAAATCCAGAGTCAGCCGGGGGAACAGTCGCGAGATTGGGCCGGTGCGATGGGCCCGAGGAAAGCCTCGCGGCTGTTTCAGACGGGGCTCGCACAATTCCGGAGTGTCGTCACTGGAGTTGACAATCCTCCCCGCACGACTTTCACTTATCTCGAGTAACTGAAATTGGTTGCATGTCAACGCACAACTGTTGCCGGGCTCACTGGGCTGATTCGCCACCGCAGCACCGGGTTTGATGATGATAGGACGATCGGGATGCCTGCATCCGAATGGCGGATTTGGAAGAGATTTGCACTCGAAAATGGTTATCTGGGTGAGTCCAGTGCGTCGGGGTGGTCCGATCGCGGAGCCTGCCGTGAAGCATCACACATTCCCTGCTCATCATCGGATTCAGATTGTTGTCGTGTATGGTGTGCTGCAAAGGCCACTGGGAGGAACCTCGGATACATTCCTTGCTGCCTGTCATCTTGCCGTAGTGTCTGGTTGATCACAGCTTCTCTCATGGAGATGAGTAAAGGATGGATGAATCCTGTGATGCCAGCGGGAGCACACACAGCACCATCGCTAACACTCCTGATCCCATCCTGGGGCTTTCGACATTCTAGGTGCCAGATATTGAGCTTTGTGAACACTCTTGGAATGCGTTAAGGGTCATTTCGGTAGAGGGCTGTACTTCGAAGCTGCAGGACCATCTTTGTCCTGCGTATTCTGTGGCATTTGGGCGAAGTTTCCAGCACTGTCGACAGGAAAACAGTAGAGAAATATAGTTTAAGCAGCGTGACTGGTGCACAACAGTGGACTGAGCAGTGTTGACCTGCTAAAATCGCTTCAAATCGTACGCAATGTTGTTATGTCACCATGAGTTTGAAACCATCATGAACCATTCATGAAATGAGGAAAGTAGCATTACCATGATGGATGGTTTTGATACCAAAAAACGGTTTCTTGAAGGAACTTTCGTACCATTGTATTGAACTCGGTTTCTACTAATCAACTTAAGGTAATTAGATGTTGAAATTTCGAAAAATAGAATCGATTATGTCGATCAATTTGGCGACGAAAACAAATTTTAGAATGCAAATATAACGATAACGAAGGTACAGTGAAACGTTTTTGTTAAAAAGAAGAACTTTTTTTTGATAATTTTTTGAATTCCTTGACAAAAAATTATTTTTTCAATTTGAAACTACTGACGGCCTTATCTTGTACAATCTTTTGTCGTATTCTGTAAAAGTAATCAACTAATTCATAACGACCTCAAAATCCATCTCTTTCAATGCTGAGCGGTGTCCCCCATCTTTCTACAGGTGGGGTCAAGAGCTTTCTCGTAAGAAGTGGGACTCGGACAAATCCTGAACTTCCAATCAATCGCGTCGAATTCGACATTAACGAGTTAAAGACCAGTGTGCCAAAACCAAAAAGTGGCAAGTAATATTTGCATTGAATGAATACATGTTTCATTCTACGTCAAGAAATACCTCAAGATTATTATTCCAACACCTGAATGTCAAATCAGATTCATACGTACTAAAACCGATAAAAGTTAAATTCCAGCACTCACAGATCTATGTAGATTCCTACACCAATGGATCGTCCGAAAATGAGAGAATGTTGCTTACAATCATTCATATCCTCGTTCACCGTATCAAGTTGTAACAAAACGATAAAAAAGGTGAAATAGCAAGGGCATGAAAGCTGTTGCTGATTGCATAGATGGTCTGGAAGAATTCATTAGAATTTTGAGAACTCGATCGGTGTGCACAATGCACACGCTAGGAGTGAACATCGAAGGTCGACTTTTCTTGGAACAAAATTTTCCTTCCTCTAAGGACTCTAACTCAATCGCGGGTCCCCCGCTAAATTTCGAACAAAGTTCTCCTGTCTCACTCACAAAAATTATGTCACCAAAAAATCTGCCGTATTCACACTCAGGTAATATACAGACGAGGCATAAACAGTATCCCTGGGCTAAGAGGGAGATGAAACTTACCTCTCGCTTACCAGGCAATGAAGGAGAGTCACCGTGCCGACAAGGGTCATCATCCATTCAGACACTACATGTCTACACCATTGTTGGTTGCAGGCGTTGATTTTTTGGAGTATCGGTGGCAGAAACATATTCCTGGGAGTGAAGCAACGAAGCGCAGTATATTTGAGATATCCCCTCGACAATGGAGACGTAGCGAGACAAAAATTTGCATACCAATGGCATTGTCGACGTTTTACTCGGGCCAATCAAGCCAATCGTTCGTCAAGTTTATTCTTGCGATGGATCATGTACTGGGCCAAGGCTGGATCGTGCTTTGAGAGTATGTTGGAGTCCTCAGCGAAGCACACATAATTAGCAGCTACAGCGCTCTCTGAGACAGCCATTGTCAAGTATGTCTGTGACAGCAACAACAAACGACATTGTTACGGAAGATGACTGCTGAAAATTCGATGTAGAAAATGTATTTATCTCCATCATGATTAAACCTGTACCGTAGGTACACTAATTTGATCAAGAAGAAGGTTTCATTTATAAATGACATCAGATACAGATCGGGTTTTATGGTTTTGAGCCGAACGGCATTGAAGGGGCTCACCACTAAAAAGCCAAGGAAGAACGAGATGATGGAGACACCAACTGTGAGATAACGGCGGGTTGCAAAAGACCAGCAGCCTCCAACCAGAGCTGTCACGACTCCTCCGATTATGCAACCAGTGAAGAGCACTGCGCCGGTTAGGTCGTCACTGACGAGCAACATGGTCTCCGTTTCCTGGAATATCCTCCATGTCTCTTTTGCGGACGTCGCAAAACTCTTCCCATGCAAACCCACCTGGAAATCCATGTGCACCCGAATCAGACGTTGCCTGGTTGGTATGAAATAAGATGCTAACAGAAGTAAGTGTGATACCAAATCAACGTCTGGACGGCTGCAAAGATGCGAAGATGGCTTCTAAGGATTCAAAAAATGACTCGCATACCCCCACGAAAGCCCATTTGTTGAAGTGTCTGATGAGATATTCCATCAGTCCAAGCAAACAATTCGTGCAGGAGAACAAGAACTCGTTTGAGCCTTGCTCGTTAGCTATGTGCTTAGCCTGCAAAGAAATACCAAAACTTTCAGATCCTACACAGAAGGAAGAATTTTGTCTGTTCTCCTTATTCCACCAAGTTGAGAAAGTAGTACGCTTGTTGTAAGACTTACTAGTGCATGAAGTGCAGTCACTGGGCCCACGAACATCGACCCAAGGCAGACACTTCCGAAAGAAACAGTCCATGCACGTTGGTATGATCTCAACACCGGAAAATGAGGCTTGTTGCCCATCTGCAAACACAAGGCATAATTCCCAGTAATGAGCTTCCAAAGACTCGAAACGACCAATGACTTCATAAATTAAATTCGAGTTCACTATTTTGACCACTTGTAAATAACGATTGTGCACCTCGTAGTAGTTAGTGCCTACAACGCCTGCAACAGTAACGTTGATGGTGTTACGAAGGACCTCAATGGACCATGCCAAGCTCACAACTAGTAACGCGACGTAGTATCCACCATAAGTAAAGCTTAGCGCTCCAGAAACTCCAAAGATCCATAAGGCAAGCCAAAACATTGCCAGGAACACCGTCCACACTGAGAGTATGTAGAGACTCTTGTATTCGTGGACAGCCAAAATTGCTTTTCTGAGCATGATTCCTGTAAACTCCATCCTGTCAGGGCCGCAATAGAACAATCATTAGCTGCAAAAGTCGAGTTGTGGGGTTTTGTGTCTTGACAGGCAAATGCAACCACATTACTCGAGGACTCCTCTCCAGCAAGCAAATTTCTTTGTGTCTAATGTAATATGAATGCTATACAACCCCGGGGAAGAGTAGGGAAGAGTTGCGATCATTACCGGTGCCTAACATGGTGCACATAAAGCCCCTGGAAAAGTGCTAACGCCAGGAAAAGGAGACCAACAAGGCCTTTGGCGGTTCCAGTGGAAAGCAGTATGATACCCAACAATCCTGTTGCATACAGAGGGTACAAAAATAATTACAAACTGCAAGAAAACATCCACAATCAGAGCAGTGATAACCTGGATTTGCACACCACGCGACTCAAATGCAAACTGGAATGCTCTATATCTGAATTTCCACCTCCACGGCGGATTATTCTAAAAAATACATGGAAATATTGTTGATCAAGAACAAAAGGTGAACATGCACTTGTCATAGAAAATTGCTGCAAGGAAAGTAAAAGCTAAGGGTTTGTCGATCGACACGTACCAGTACACAGAGTACCCAAATACAGGCTGATCTTGATCATGGGTGCTGGATGCGCACGGATGAGCGATTGCCAGATAAATGCAAACAACCACCCTGCGCCTGTTGCAACGGCAAGTTGAGGAGCCCAATGCTTCATGTTGTACAAACGTTCTGGGAGTAGCGGTGCAGGGGAATGAGCAAGAGCGTATGTGCGCACCAACTCTTCGTTTTGGTTTGTCTTTATCACGCCTCTTACCCCGAGATATATGCATACGCCAACACCAACCCAGAAATGCAAGATGAAGAGAAACCCCGCCCAGTAGTGTTTGCAAGCTTGAAAGTGTTTCCACTTCACGCGTCCGTGTTCCTGCAGAGCACTCCAGAAAAGTTCAACAAGAAAACAACGCTGCAGTGGTCCGAACGAACGCAGCAACTACAGTGATATTGATATAGAGAACTGACCGTGGTTGGAACGTAATAAACGTCTTTTCCTAATGAAGGAGGTCCAACTTCCATGTGCGTGGCGTAAGAAACAGCCCCTAAGTCTCCTCGACCTTCTATGTCCTTTTCTGGGGGATTTCCCTCAGGAAACTCATCCAGTTGATGATGTGCAGGCTTGTCAGGAGGACGGTCCTCAGTCTCGCAAGGCACAGGAACCACAAACTGAGGTTCTACGTCTGGTGGCTGCTGTTCGCGGGAGATGTCACGAGAAGTATCTTCCTGAGGTGAAGGAGGCGCAGCAACAGGCTCAGATGGCGTCGGAGGAATTTGAGAACCAACATCATCGGCAGGAGGGCGGGGTGGTGAGGCCGCTGTCTCTTTCGCGTTATCCTTTGGGGAGAGGGCAGCCGCTTGTTGTGGTGGTGACGCAGCTCGTTTCGGTGACTCTGGCCTGTGGGATTGTTGCTGAAGCTCAGAAGAGAGAGGAGGTTGAAGTCCTGCATCACTGGGAACTACAGTAGGTGGGTTCCTCTGGTCAGATTTCGGAGGGGGAGGAGGAGGAGGTCCATGATCATAAAGTGGCTCAGGTCTTTTCTCCGACGGAAGCTCAGGCCTTCTGCCAAACTCATGATGGCGCCTTTGTTCATATTCATGAGGAGCTCTGCGGTCCAATTCCGGAGGTCTTGGATCGATTTCTTGAACGGGTCTGTTGTCATACTGAGGCTGAGGTCTTCTGTCAAATTCTGGAGGATATCTTCGATCAAAGTCTGGAGCCTGTCTTCTAACAACCTCTGGAGGGTATCTTCGATTGAAATCTGGAGGCTGTCTTCTATCAACCTCTGGAGGATATCTTCGATTGAAATCTGGAGGCTGTCTTCTATAGACTCTCGGAGGATATCTTAAATCAAATTCTGGAGGGTGTATTCTATTAACTTCTGAAGGTTGCCATGGATCAAATCCATGAGGATATCTTCGATAAACTTCTGGAGGATGTCTTCGATCAACTTCTGGAGGATATCTTCGATCAACTTCTGGAGGATGTCTTCGATCAACTTCTGGAGGATGCCTTCGATCAACTTCTGGAGGATATCTTCGACCAACTTCTGGAGGATATCTTCGATCAAATTCTTGTGGATATCTTCGATCAAATTCTTGAGGATATCTTCGATCAACTTCTGAAGGTTGTCCTCCATCGAAGCCTGGTGGCTGTCTTCGATCAAATTCGTGAGGGTAACTTCGATCAACTTGTGGAGGATATCTTCGTTCGATTTCTGGAGGTTGCCTCAAATCGAATTCTGGAGGGTGCCTTCGATTTAATTCTGGAGGATGTCTTCCATCAAAGTCTGGAGACTGCCTTCGATCAAATTCTGGAAGATATCTTTTATCAACATCTGGAGGATGTCTTCGATCGAATTCTGGAGGTCCTTGGTCAAGGTAAAGCCAAGGCCGATTATTGAATTCCGGAGGTCTGAGTTCATGCTGAGGTTGAGGTCTGCGCCCGTAATCAAATTCATGCGTAGGTCTTCGGTGGTAATCTGACAGAGGGAATTCCTGCAGTGGCCATCTAATGCCATGCTCAGAGCCTCGCCCAGAATCGAATCTCCAGTATGATGGTCCTCTTCCGTAAACACATTGTGGAGGTGGTCTGAAATCGAATATAGAACCTATCAAATCATCTGGAGTGTAAGTCGGAGGAGATAGAGTTCTGGGGTACACTTCATACGGAACACCTCTGCGGTAGTCTTCACGAAGAGGGAAAGGTTGATACACAGGAACAGCTCTAAATAAGGGAGGTTTCCAATAGGGGTCGCTTGCTGGCGTTGTTCCTTCAAAGATATAATCTGGACCTTCTCTGGTTTGCAGAACCTGCAATTTTGGGAAGGAAAACATCCAATTCATACCAGGGGTGAAGGAAGACCCCAAAGAATCAGGCAAACTTACCGTCGCAACAAATAACGTGCATTTTTATCGCTGTTTCTTAGCCAAGGCAACTAACCTCTCAAAGTTGAAATCAATTAGAAATGTTTACACAGCAATGAGTTTACTAAAGGCAGCTGTTTATTGCTAGACTACTTGATTCCCTACAGTTAATTTTAAACTCATTCCGTGAAAGTAGTGTATGCAATGCAGCAGGTATGGAATTAAACAACTTGTTAGCGAATTGAGCTATCCAAATAATTCCACTAGCTCACACTCGTGACTTCATCGGATCAGAGGGTCACTCTTCGTCCCGGATGTCCTTTAAACCAGAGGCAAGAAACTAAGCACTGTAACTTTCACTCTTTCACAACCAACTCGTCACCTGGGTTCAACGAAGAAGAAGCACCGCCACAGAATAAGGCCCCAAGAATCTCAAATAATACGTTGGGGCTAATTGTTCAATCACGGAGCTGTGCGAAACTGTTGTCAAAACTAAATGATCATTCCCTGTGGCGAGACTCGAAATTTCAAATCATGTTGCCAAACGTTGAGTTGAACCAGCCCTCGCCAAGTAGTGTGATTGAATTTCTACTAGATGCATCATCAAAAGTGGAGTCATGGCAACTTACGTATTCATCCCGAGGAGCGTAGGGGCGCAATCGCTCATGTTCGTTGTAATACTCCATAGCCGCGTCCTGGTATTCAAACTCTTGGACTCTCAACCCTAGGTCAAGCATTAGGAGCAATGCCCTCTGATTCTGAATACAATCTGCAGGCACTTTCACGGTAAGCCATACTATCTTCGATGCTCACTTTAAAACCTGCAGGCTGTCGCTTCTCTACGGTCACGTGCTTCTCCGGTGGAAGATCTCTTAAGTGACGTAGCCATAGCGCACTGGTGGATTCCCACTTGACACATGACCCTTCTCAACTAATTCAATAATTCATTAAAGTATCGAGCGTGAGCTTCAGCTTGCAGTTGATCGTTCGTTAACCTTCGGAACAATGTGCTTCATACCAGTACCTGTGAAGAACGCTCGAAGTAAGTGATAAAATTGCTTGAAACAAGTTCCATATATCTATCCCTCTCCCTCTCGTCCCCCGACTGACATTATTCCTTCTCCCGCGCAGCCTTGGCTGTGAAGCTATAGAACAGACGTTAGCTTCAAGAGTAGGCACATTCTTTGTCCTGAAGAGAACCACAACTTGCGCAGAACAAAACCTGCCAATGATTCCAAAACAGGAAGACAAGTGCAGCAACTGCAGCACGCAAAGCTTGGTATCAACTACCGGCTTTTAAACACAACAATCAAGATCTGCCGAAGCTCTAAACGTCCTTGGTCTGCAACAAAAAATCTCAAAAGATTGCATGTACCTGAAGCATCCGCAGCAGCAATGCATCCACCGCAGCAGAAGAGTGCTAAAAACTGACAACAACAAAAAGCAAAGTTGGGTTCAGGCGGGAGATGACGAGAGAGGATCCAGCAGTCTTGGTGAAATACCTGGTGATGGCCAGGACGAAGAAGAAAGACACAGAAATTCTCCAACCCCACTGCGAAACCTGCACAGTACGTCGCCACCCACTCCGAGTCCAGGCCGGGCTGTGCACGACACCACCGCCACCAGGTCTGAGTTTTAACAGCTGCAATGAGACAACACGCTCTCGCTACACACTCCCACATTGCAAAATCACGCTTTGCCGTCACTGCGGCTAGCTTTGCCAGGTCGCATAGCTCGCTCTTCGCCGTCGACGTGAGCTTTATTCATATTCGAAGTCAAGGTGTCAGTGTTTCAGTCTGGCGTCCGGAGTACTCATGGTGCATCACAAGAGTAACTCTGATTCTCGGGCTTGTGCTCTCATGTCTTCAGCTTTTGAAAATGTTCATATAATCATATAATATAAATTAAATAAACGTTGTTTTGTTCTTTTGTCTTCTTGTTCAGTAGGAGATCAATCTTTATGTGGAAGCAGATTTCAAATCTAAACCATCAGGATATTCATTTTGTTTGATTAATTTGGTTCATATTTAAGCGAGTGCATGGAATCTCATTATATGTAAACTTTTTGCTCTTGTAAATATGTTTTTCCTTGACCTTCTTTCTATTGATTGTTGGTGGCAATGGTACTACCTTGTTATTGCATGATGTGATAAATTGTAGATATTCTTTGATAAAAATTGCTCCAATTGTAGCAATTTCTTATTGATATTTGGCTTCTTTGTTGTCCATTCACTATATTCTATTCTCTTGGGCAGGAGGGGTTGTTAGATTCATTGCAAGTTGGTCCACTGTTGCAAAGAGCTGGATGTGGCATCGACCATATGTTATCAATTTGGTGAAGATGGATAGCAAATTTTATCAAGAGTAATTATATTGGCGGCACCAATGTGCCAAGTAAGAGGATCTCATCTAGAGAATATTGCCTTGTTTATTTATATGTCGATTAAAAGTGTTATTTTTTGGCATTGATTATCTAAGGATCTATAGTGAATTTTACACCATGCTTCTTGCTTTATTTGTATAATTGTCTTTTAGGCCTTCTAAAGAATTTTTTTCAATGTGAAAGGAATCACAATCCATATTGAAGTTGCATTTTGTACACCATATAAGCTATAAGATTAGATTTTTCAGTATCATCCATGGAATTTCTTTAGAAATTCAAATCATGGAAGTAAGGTTGGTTTCTTGTAGTGAAAAAGGATCACAGTTCCCATATAGAACCTTAATCCATGGTATGATGGGGCTTAAGGTGGCCACTCTTTGGAGTAGATTAAAACTCTCACATGTTGGTTTAATAGCCGAGGAGTTCCAAAATATATGTTGTATTGTCTCTATTTTCTTGCAATTGTACAATTTGCAGTTGGAATCCATTTCGATAACCTTGTGCCAATAATTTACTAGAATGCCTTTGGTTAGGGTCAACCAACTCATGGCGAACACCTTCTAAGAAAGCTAAGAGTGCCAAAAAAATTTATAAAAGAGTTTGTATTGTACATTATTGTAGTTTTATTATTAGAGTAGGCTTTGATCTTTGAAAGGCGTAGATGAGCAAGTAATACCGATCTGGTATCCTAGCTTGGATGTATAATTATTAATGGTCTGATCTGGCTTCATATTGTGAGGCTTCCATATCCATTTTTTAAGGTCAAATGTAAGCAATTGGAGACCATTCATAATATGTTAGGCTAGCAAACTAGACTATTTGAGTTAAATTCAATGCATACATTCTAATTATTTTTAATGGCAATGCAGACACCTTAGAATTCATCATCTTTGAGTTAAAATAATTCATGTTGCATTGCTTCTAACTCTTTTGAAATAAGTACGATATATTTTGTACCATAGAGTATATCATTGTTGATCCTGTATATGACATAAATTTCAATTATGCTATCTTGTATGTCAAGAATCTACCAATCTTGGGATGAATAAAATTGTGCTTAATCTAGATACTAGGAAATTTGTGGTATGAATTGATAATATTGAAGGTTTGCATTTTGGCTTCCAATTCTATAGTGGAGTCTTAAGGATATGAACCAATTCTTTTGGTGTTCATCTTAGATATCTTTTAATTTGTGAATTTTTTTGAATGACTAGTTTATCAATCTCTCATCCTTGTTAGAGCTCCATGTTCTTCTTTCTACATCTATTAAGCATAGATTACTATAAAGAGGTTACTAGAGTATTTAATCTTAGTGTTGTATAGTAAGGGAAGTGAGGCCACTCATTATACTTTGTTAGGTAAAGTAGATGTTTTTTCAGAGTTATGAGCCTATGATGATAACTGATATGTTGTCCATGATTAAATATATACTAAGATACCAAATGCTGTAATGTTTAGTTCATGTCATTTCTATTCTATGGCATAGTAGTATTTTTCAAGGTTCTAGTTCCAAAGTCAAGCCTTTAGTGACTAATTTGACAAGGAAGGCTTTTTCTTACATTATTGGATCAAAACATTTTAGCCCTCTATTTTGTATTGGTTTTATAATAGTATTCCTTTTGACCTTTGCTCTAGCTACTTCACTTGTAATGCCTTTCCACAGATAGTTATAGATTAGTGCCCAGATTTGCTTGAAGTTCTTGTTTTTAAAATTTATACACAAAACCAAGTACCAAATTGAAGCAAAAATAATTTGATTGATAATTAGTAGTTTGTCGGCTAGTAAAAGTTTTTAAAGGCCCCACTGGGCAAAGTATTTTGTGAAATTCTAGAATATTTTATTATTCTTATTTTTATCTGTTATCTTGTAACTAATAGAAAAACCAAGATACATAATGGTTTGATTTCTATTTTTTAAATCGGATTTAGATCTTTGCTCAATTATCATTATTGTACATGGGAGGCTATTGATATGATGTATGTTTTGTACCAATTGGCCTTGATTATTGATGCTTGATAATATTTGGTGAATATAGTCATTGCTCTTATGAGATTTTCTAGGATATCTTTTAGGTATAAAGTAGCATCGTTAGCAAACATTTGATTATTAATTATTATATTAAATAGTAATATAAATCCTAGTATGTCCCATTCTAGATCTTTAAGCATTTAGTTCAATATATCTACTAAAAATAAAAATAAGTAAGATGCCAAGGAGCAAACTTGACAGATAGAGTATTCTAAAAAAAAGATAGGATCATATTGATTGTTGATAGTCATTGTGGTGGCGGCTTCTTAGTTGATAGCCATTAAGGTACTGATCCATGTGTTGGAGAATCCAATTTTGACTAAAGCTACTTCCAAGAAGCTCTAATTGATATGATCATATACTTTTCTGAAGTCCAATATCACTAATAATAAGTCTTATTGGCTCTCTTCAACCCAATCTATAGCCTCCACAACTAGAAATACATTATCAAAAAGGTAGTGTCTAGCTACAAAGCTAGTTTATGATCTGTGAATCTAATATGGGGGATTTGAAAGAAGTCAATTTTTTAATATTTTAGCTAGAATTTTATAAATTGTGCTCAAAAGAGAGATCAACTTATAGTTATGAATGAAGGATCTATCTCCTTATTTTGGAATTAAGATTATTTAATTAGTATTAAGTTCACATGGAAGTATATTGGTTGTAACTACTTCTTTAGCTAGTTGAAGTAAGTTCAATTGGATTTCCTTCCAATACAATTGGACGAATTCTATTGAAATGAGATCAATGTTGGGTGTTTTTCTAGTATAAAGCCCTTTTGTTACTATAATTAATTCTTATACAATGATTTGTTTTTCAAGCTCTTAATTTTGTTGTTGAATTACTTTGTATGGCACTTCAGCTAAGCAATCTATTCTAGTCACTTTATTATTGTTAACCAAGGTATCTTGATTATATAAGCTTTCGTAGTATTGCCTTGCATATTGGACCATATTTGTTTATTGGATGTGTATTTTCTTTTGGTCATTGAACTTGCAGATTTTGCTTTTTTTACTTTTTTACTTTAAAGTAATAAAAAAACGTTGTCTCTTATGCAACCCAAAAGTTGGAATGTATATTATTGGTGTAATATCCTGTTGTAGCCTATATTGATTTTTTGAGTGTTGAAGCAATCAATAGTTTCTTTTCCTGCCATGTAAACTTTGAGTTGGGCTTTTTATATGATTTAACTTCACAAGAGCTACATAGAGTGACCTAGTAGATCTGATTGTCCTTTGATTTGATTGTGGATCCTTGATTGGGGTTGTAATATTTGATTGGTCTTTCTTACTTGCAATCCTTGTTTGGTTTTGATGTAGAGTAGTTACGAACATGGTATGTAGTGCTTCGACATCTATTGTATTGGATGGATAAACTACTATATTTGACATAGTATTCCATTTGTGTTCCATCTTATAGGTCTAATATGCTTACTTTGATTGGTAGAGTATCTATATCCATTACCAAGATGTGTATTTGAGGACCGACTACTTTTTCTCAATATTGGTTTTTAGTGACAATCCATACGATTTCCTTTAAATTGGTTGACAATTTTTGATAAAATTTGTAGTGTTCAAAATAAAGTAGGAAGGCCATGGATTTGTATCCATGCTAGATGGACCAATTCCTATTCTACATCATTACTAATTTTGGAATTAAAGTTGGAGTGCCATGGAATGAAACAAACTTCAGTTTGATTAATATGGTGTTGTTTGGAAAGAGTGTGGATCCTAACTTTGTCCTCTACAAAGAACATTTTGAAGAAGTTACCTCCTAACATGGATAGTAATAGGAATGAATAATAAAGGATTTTTTGGATCCACTCTCTCAATAATTGTAATCTTTAATTCTGAGAAACATGTCTGATTAAGGCTTTTTGACACATGCGATCTGCTCCATCATTTAATTCTTACAGGATAGTATGAAATAGCTTAATTTTCTTGACGTTGTTTTGTATTAGCTTATAGTCTCTTAACTCTTGGGATGTAATTCTATAGACTGTTAATATGGAATTTGTATCTAGCTTAAATTTACTTAAGATGTTATGTAGATCTTTGTCCACTATTGCTTGATAGGCTAGTCCAAGTTGTTAGTTGGCTTAGATAAATTATTCAATGTCTATCCAATGACTCTTTAGAAGTTGTTTGAAGTTGTGAAAAGCTTGCACCACAAAGTTATTTACTACTGCTTTCAACTTCATATCTTTATTAGCAATTATGTCTTCCATGATGGGATCAAGGAATGTAGGTACTATTGTTTTTTTAGTAGAGTATGGAATGATGTTGTTTTGAGGATGTATTTTCTAATATTAAGAAAGTAGGTTGATGTTGTTTTGCAACAAGATGGTTTTCTACTACAATTTGTGTTGCTACTATTATAGTTGATGTTTAAATGTTTTTATAATGAAGACAATGAATTATCCTTTTGATATCCTTCTTGCAAATATAAGCCTCTTTGCTATTAACATTTTGTACTACTATCTATTATGTCCCAAATAAAATAATTTAAAAAAATAATAAAAATAATTTTATTTTTTTACAATAATTTAAGGTTTTTCTCTCTCTTGCTCTCTTTTTCTTTATATATTCTTTAGTACATGATTTCAATTCATTCAATTAAAAAAAAAATGAAATAGAAAATAAAAAATCTATATATTTAGTGAAATTAATTTAATTAAAAATATCATATATATACCTCTGAAATATGTTGAAATATCAAGAATATCCTTATATTTCCTGTAATAGCAAATTTATCCCTCTTTTTTGTAATAATATCAAAAAGTAAAAAAAATAAAAATGTGAAACTACGCCCGACCTAATTGTCGCAAAAAAATTGGCGTGCCCTTGCGTACGTATGTAGACTACTACACTGCCATTTTTGGCAAATAGATGAATTCAAGCGAGTTTTCAAACACAGAGGATAAACTAGGGGGGCGAGGCAGAAACCATGTAATCCTTCACAAAACTCATTGTCACGCTGTTAATGAATGAGATTGAGCGAGATAGCAAGAGCGAGAGCTTCAATCTGACCATCAGGGACTCCATCCCTGCAACGCAAGATGTAACAACATCTGGAACTAGTGAAGAGTGCCACTGAATTATGATGCGATGAAACCGATGACAACCTTATTTACTCATCTTGTTGAAACTACACACTCCGCATCAGGTCCATGTGATTGGATTTTTTTTTGACAATGACATTGCAACCATGATCTGCAAATCATGAAGAAAACTAAATCTAAAACAAATTGCACCGTTTGCAAATATTTATGAATGCTACTCTCACTTCATACAGCTCTTTTTACTTTCTCTAAAGATTTTGATTTGATATCCTTCTGTTTCTTTTCAACTGGAACCTAGTTTGTAAAAAAGAAATTTGATAACGTTAAAGTCACCTTCACATAAGTCGAAGCTAGTCAATTCAATGGCAAAAAATTGATAGAACCTAGTTTGTAAAAAAAAAAAAATTGATAATGTTAAAGTTACCTTCACATAAGTCGGAGCTAGTCAATTCAATGGCAAAAAATTGATAATTTTGAAAGTAGAAATGCATGCTCTTTTGAAGAGCATGGTCGTTCAAACTTTCGGTGATGAATTACAGATGAGATAATACTCAAAACCTTTGATGCAATTATCATGCAGGCGATTTCAACATTAAAATTGCAATAAACTTATATGACCTTAAATAATAGGCCATGAAGCAGGAACATTTGAATATGTAAATGAGATAGATCAAAGATAACGGAATTAGAAAAAAAATAATGGCCAAAGAACCATTCACTTATAGATCACAAAAATAAAGGGATATAAACAATCCGAGGCGCTCAAACAGTGCTTGACGTATTGTGTTACATAAATTTTCAGACGTTAATTATTATAGCTCATTCTCCAGCTTTCTCTTCAATCAGAAAATAATATCAGCAGTGCTAATAACTGGAGACAGAAAGAGAGTTCAAGATAGAGTATTTGAACCTACACGCCATCAGGGGCGCTTCCATCACCAATGCTACAAGCACAGCAGCAATTAGATTTTGTTTTCTTCATGATTTGCAGATCATGGTTGCAATGTCATTGTCAAAAAAAAATCCAATCACATGGACCTGATGCAGATTGTGCAGTTTCAACGAGGTGAGTGAACAAGGTTGTCATCGGTTTCACCGCATCGTAATTCAGTGGCACTCTTCACTAGTTCCAGATGTTGTTACATCTTGCGTTGCAGGGATGGAGTCCCTGATGGTCAGATTGAAGCTCTCGCTCTTGCTATCTCGCTCAATCCCATTCATTAACAGCGTGACAATGCGTTCTGTGAAGGGTTACGTAGTTTCTGCCTCGCCTTCTAACTCATCCTCTAGGTCTGGAAACTCGCTTGAATTCATCCATTTGCCGACAATGGCCAGGTAGTAGTCTACGTACGTATGCAGGGTCCGCCAATTTTTCACGGCAATCAGGTTGTGCCCAGTTTCATTTTAAAAAAGACTTTTTGTGATAGCTTATCAAGTTGAAGGGTAGTTTCGATATTATTACAAAAATGAGGTGTAAATTTGCTATTATCAAGAATACCCTTGTATTTTCCCTTTATTTAACTCATTTGCACTTCGAAGTCTTCCGTGTCAACAGTCTTCGACATTATATTTGGTGATTGGAACTGCCACAGTTGTGCGGCATCACATAACCCAGTCATTCGGGCAAGTTCAGAGCGGCACGGCAGAGGGAGGGAGGGCGGGGGGGGAGGGAGTCGTCGCCGCCATGGGAAGCGCAAGCGCAGGCATCGCAATTGCAAGGGGGGAGGGAAACACTGTGGAAGCGCCAGCAGTGAAGACCAGTAAGGCAGTACAACAAAGTTAAAGGACGGTACCGTAAAAAAATAATCCAGCATGTTGGGGATTCAGGAAGAAAGGTGGGCCGGGGGATGTGCCGGGGTGGTGGTGGTGGTGAAGATTCACACCCTGCCATGGCATGTCCTTGATGAGAGAGTAGTGGGTGGCAGTGAAGCCTGTGTATGAGCCCATCCTACTTCCACTGCTACTACTACCCCCCCCCCCCCCCACGAAGATCATCGGATGCGTGACGCAACAGCTGTAGACATCGCGGTCATAGACCTCCTCCTCCTCCTCCTCCTCGTGAGATTCGGGCACAGACAGACACGGTACAGGCAACCACGTTCGCTTGTTGTTCGGATATGATTCTGCCTGATTCGAGCGTTTCGCGCCGCTTGTCTCGTCTGGTAGTGTGGGTTCCGTTCCGTTCATGACCATCGCCAGCAAACGCCGCTTGCGTTTTGGGTCTCGCAGGAATTGATCTGGGATGCGTGGTTTGATTGATTGGGGGGTGGCTGGGATGTGTTTCTGAAAATGTGGCGAGAGGGCTGCGATTTCCTGATGGGTTGTGCTCTGTAGGGAGGTTGAATTGATTTTAGAGGTGGGTTCCTGCGCGTGGTAGAATTGCGCTCGGGGTATGTAGAGGAGACTGGATTACGCTTTTGAATTGGGGTGGCGGGGATCCCGACCTAAATTTTTTTGCGAGAGTTCCGATAATGTGGCCTCAGCTCGCGTGTGATAAGGTTTGTGCGACATGGGTGATGAATCCCGCAGGCTTGAGAAATGACAAGTCACATGTGGCCGTCGTGACTGTGAGTGCTTTTCCAAGGGCAATGCTGCGGCAGTGGGAATGGCACAGGTGTTTGGTGCATGCGGCGAGGTATAGGACGCGCAGAAGGCATCTTGCACTGGGCCGATTCGCTGCTATGAGTGGGAACCAGGCAGCGGAGATTGAGCAATCCAAATCGATCAGAAATCTGGACGGGGAAGGAAGTGCTGATTTGAGAGGGGAGGACCGTTTGCTGTCCTCCGTGGGGACAGCTGCCCTGGCTCCGGCCTCGTTTCGGGATTGGTATTTGGCTGACAAGCAGCTCGTGGTTGTTTCTGTTGTTGGTTTCGCCGTATGTTTCTCCTCACCTCATCGCAGAGACATCCAGTTGGCTTTGTTATTATTCGTTTGTGATTGTAGTTTAAATTGCCGAATTAGCTCTTTGAGTTTTCGTGCCAGTGTCAAGTCCGATTGGGCGAATCGCGAGTATTCGCGTAAACTACGTTTGACCGAATGGAGTGTGGGAAGTCATTGTACAATTCTAAATATTTCGAGGGCTACCACCTTGTACTGTGATTCATATGGCATGTCCTTATGTTTACAGACTGCGGGATTTATGGCCATTTTGCTTGCAGCGGCTGTTCCAAGTCTGTTGGTAAACTTCTCTCGAATTGAAATTTTTCGCTCATGGTACATTTCTTCAGGATTTTCGGTATGGAGTCTAATCTGTCTATTTTGAGCTACACGGTGGATCTGTTGATAGTCGTTGGAGCACAATTCTTTGTTGCCGTCATACTTATCCTCTGGTTTTTTGGCGACATTTTCCGCCATGGCTTCACTCGTGATAACAGGCAATCAAGAAGGCGGCGGAATCACTTGAGAAGCTGGCTGACACAGCGAGGGAAGAGCTGCCTGGCACCATGGCGGCTATTAGGTTGTCAGGCATGGAGATCAGCGACCTCACAATGGAGCTCAACGAGTTAGGGTGTGTACCCCTTAATCACATAAACTCCAACTTCAGAACACAAGCAATCAATATAGGCAGTTGGGAGAATAAAGGAAACGTGGATTGCAGCCATGCAATTATTGTGCTCAATCGTTCTTACTGGATGCACACCTTACCTTGGATTTTTTTTTTTTTTTAAAATCGCATTTAATTAATGATTCACAAGCACATCCGGTTAGTCCGTAGTTGTCAAACTAAAGAATGTCTGCATTTCCTGAAAATGATGATGCCGACAGCATAAGGGCGGTCGCATTGTGGATAATTGCAAGATTTATAGCTTGCCCTAACTTTACTGATCATCCAGGCAAGAGATTTCTAAGGGAGTTCGAAGTTCAACACGTGTTCTTTCATCTACGGGGTCTGGGATGCGGCAAGGAGGTGGTGTTGCTTCTAGTGGTGAGAACTGATTTGTGCTTTCGTACAGCTGTCATAAGATGACATAAATCCTAAAAAATATCATGCACAAAGATGAAACGCAATGGTATAACGTACATCATGCCGCTCTTTCAAGACAGCAATGTCAGAGCTCATCTTTTCAAACTGTGAGTGGTAAATCTGGATCTTTCTATGGTTTATTATCTGCCATATTTCCCACTTCTGCGTGCTTCGGAATTTTATATTGAGATCTCGTTATTGGCATTGTGTGCAAGGGTATCCGGATACTTAAAATGGTTGTTTAGTATGGCAGGAACAGGCGGTTCTTCCAGTGCAAGCAATGCAACTTCAAGTGGCTCCGACCGTAAAACGAGCGCATGAAAGTCTTATCCAAACTCGAGTAGTTGCCCACAACTTGCAAGTTCTGTGTCGGTTCTCAACAGACTAGAGCTGGATCAAAGGCCTCAATGATCGACATCCATTGCGCTCGTTGTCTTTTCCTCTGGAAGTAGATTTGACGCAGGATAGAAGTTAGTTCTGCATTTGCCGATCCCGTCAGCGAGAAGGGCTATCTGAGGATTGTGGTGGCCTTTGCTACTCTAGGGTCGTAAATGATTTGTTTGGAGTGTGCAATTTAACACATGGTGGACTTTTTGTTCCAAATTTGGGTCTTGTAATACATTCTGGAGGAGTGCATTGTAATCTAAAATCTGCGGCGCTCAATTTACTCACTTTCCTAGTGGTTGCCGACCAGTGGTCTGATTTTTTTCGCGATTGTCTTTGAAAACTTCGCATGTGATTTAGTTTTCATCTTTTTGTGTAACGTATATGAAACAGTATTTCTGTATACGTACTAAAGACGCTTTGTCTGTGTACTGTTTCTCAATTGCATTGTTCCTGCTAGTATTGAATTTAATTTCGCTGCCGCTTGCAGGGTGCCACTTCGAGATTGTGGTGAAATGCCTGCACCTCCCAAACGGTCTTTAATTTTTTTGATTAGAGAGATTTTTTTTCATGCTACCACTCGGTTTATTGTGAATGTACCTAATCATTCTACATCAAGCGTATACATCATTTGACCTAATCTTTGTGGCGTATTGAGCCTTCCACCCTGCAGGTTGCTAACAAATTTCGGAAGTTGTGAACGTATTTATTATGAGCTTATTAATGCTGTCCACTCATGACGTGAAGTTGCATTGGAATTGGAAAGCTACTGTACCTTTTGTAATTACCAATTTGTGCTCTGTCCATGGGATAGATGGCATCGAGTGCAGCATCGTTTGAGTATATCTGCGCAACCTGTATATGTCTGAGTTCTATGCGTGTTCTCATGAGAAAATCGGTTGAACTTGCTGGACTTGCCTTGTGGCAGTTGTGATTGAGCTTTGTTGCACAGACGATACTTGACTTGCGTGTTGCGTGTATTTGGGAGTTGATACGAGAGCATTGAAGCAGGAGATAATTCACAACCTTGTTTAAAATTCTGACAGTAGATTAATGTCCTAGCTTCAGCGCTTGTCACTCTATTTCGAATGTCGAGGATTAGTTACGTAATTTGGTTTAATTGCCGCTTTGAATTTAGCTCAAGATGTACTGTGCAGTTTCCTCAGTGAACGCATTCTTTTATAGAGAATTTCTTTGTGTGACTAAATTTTACGAGAGTCATAGATAGAGCTCCAAAACACTTGCATGAAGAAGCCCTGGGTAGGACTCTTGCATGGATAGAGTTGGATGATGTGTCGTGCTCAAGAGGTGCAAGGAGTACGTTACCATGACTCATCGATGGGTAGTGCCAACCTCATCGTATGTTCTATTACCCTCACATGCCTCATTTTCATGAACTGCAAGGGTTCTGATGTGCAGGTTTGAAACAAGGCGACACACTAAAACCTAATTCCAGCGCCAACTCGAAGTTCGGCAGAACCGGAATAATCCAAGCTTAATTGCTGCATGTGCCGGGTAAGATTTTAAGAATTGCCATTCGATCGCAGTAAGAGAATTTAGTAATCTTCTGGGCTTCAAGTGATTTTTGCTTTCTCTAGGGGTATGATACTTACTGTTATTTACATCGATTTTCTTCAACTCTCGTGGCTTAATTGCTTGATATGACCTTAGGGTTGCAGGATTCGTCGGAAAAGGACACCGAAGTGCAGAGAAGGAAACGGAGTTTGAACCCCAATGTAGCAGACCGGCATGGATCTCCACGTCATATAGTTAGATTATATTCACTTCATTAGCTGTGTCCTAGTACCAAAATCCAATTCGGAAAAATTAAATTAAAATCGCATGGCTTCGACCTCATCTGAGCATGAGACAAGGGTTGTGATCACCTCTGAGGACGAGCAAATCAATCGCTCTGAGGTGATTTATTACACAGAGAGGCTGAAAGAGTATTATGACCGTTCAGATAACGATGTAATGTCCACGATCGCAACTGAAAGCAAGGCAAAGTATCTCGACCAGCTCAAAGTCCAGCTGCAAATAGGGGATGACCCACCTAACGGAGTTGTTCACTTCGATCCCGACCCATCAGCAATAAGTAAGACGCTGCACCAACTGGGAAAGGAAGACTTGATAAATCTTATAATGAACTTGGCCAAGAGGTGGGAAGAGGGCGGAAATCCTGCGGAAATTGAAGGTCTTCTCAACAAAGTTAGAGACACATTTTCTTGAAACCCTCCTTGTATGCATTGCGAGCTTTGTGAATCATTTCTGACTTAGGTGGATGATGAGACATGGCTAACAAATCACCTATGACTTCTGGATTCTTGGCAGTTAAATGGGATTGGAAGAGTCTTAGCTTTTGAATATGGTTAGTTGGTCACTCATCTCATAATCATAGCATGTCTACTATAACGGGGTTCTGAAAATAGCGTGTTTAATGTGGCAGGCTTCGTCTGCTCTTGCTGCTAAATCAACGACTCAACGTGAATTAACGGGGATTGATAGGATTCTGAAAGATGGCCTTCTTGCATTCTTGGATAAGATTAGACAGCATCTGCCCAACTGGCCTGCTCAGGTAACTCGTGCCATCGTCTTGGCACCATTCTACTTCTTTCAAGCATAACCACATTGTCCTCTGGTAACTGACTCGATTGGCTGCACTCATCCTGTATAGTATCGGCATCCGATCCTTCTAGAATTCTCCAACAGAGGTGGTACAATCCAGCCGGTTGTGCCTCCATGACCCCTCGCCTCGTCTGTTGCAATGCAGGTGGTTAAGTTCAAAGGACTAACCTATGATGCTAAAGTCACAGGTGCGAAACTGGACTATGAAACTGTTGGCTCAATCGTTATGAAGTGTGCCAGCTGTGGTGGTTGTGCTGGCAAACAACCTCTACAAAAGTTTACTATCCTCGACAACTGCACTGGCTACTTGATGCCAGGGACATTGACACTTGTGTGTGGACCTCCGGGCTGTGATAAGTCTTAATGATGGGATCACGCATATCAGGCCGTTTCTTCGAGATTATTACATTTCACAGAATGTGGTAGCCCTTGAGGAATCATAGCAATTCAGATCTTTACATTTAAACTCCAGAAAGCCCTACTTCAAAATTTACATCAAATGAGGTCAGAATCCTTTCCATGCACAGTCAAGGTCAGTTTCCAGACTCTTACTGACAACCAATTTTATGTAAGATTTTCCTATGATGTGGATTCTTTCTCGTTTCTGGCAAAAGTATTAAGTATGAATGTCCATTGTCAAATACAGTAGAATTTTTTTTTCGCGTATGTTATGATTCTGTTGTGTAGTAACACCAGTTTGTGCTGTGTAGGCACATATCCGGTGTATTTTCTTGATGAAATTAGCACGGGACTCGATAGCTCTGCAACTTACGACATAGTTTCAGCCTTTCGTACCATGGCCAGGATGAGGCGTTACACGTGTCTCTTTTCCCTTCTTCAGCCCGCTCCAGAAGTTTTCAACCTTTTTGACAGGTATTATGCTTACGAAGGCCAATACTTTCAGCATTTCTATCTAAAGACACAGTTGTTTCATAGAACACAAGTTCTGCATGTTTTATCCTGAAGTTATTGCTTAACTTTAGGATGTTGAAGAATCCTGGTTCTCCCGTTGTACTCTTTCTTATCATACTGTAATCTATAAAGAAACTGGCCGTTATTATAAGCTCTGATACAATCCTGAACACCCTGCGTTATGAAGACTTATCGATGAATTGTGTATCCACCACTGCAGGGTAATCATCATGCACGAAGGTCGCATAATATATCAAGGACCACGGGAAGACGTGTTGGTCTATTTTGCTAAATTAGGGTACGTAACTGAGATATTCGCAGGATATGCCCAGTTACATACCCTAACTAATATCTTGTGCACATCCTACTTTATTCTTGGTACTTACGTGTCGGTAGGATTCTCTGACATGGGGATGATGTCGCTTTTCTTGCCAAACCTATTTCATATTCGAACAACGGTGATAGTATTTCATTAGTGAATAAGCCTTTGGGTTTGAAGATTTTTGATGTTGAAGCTCCTGAAACAGGTGAAGGTCGTGAAACATGTTCAGAAGACATCAGGTGTCTTCTTAAAGCTTGGGACAAGTTGCCGGATCTCATAAGTGGATGCACTAGAATATTGGATAGATGTTACAAATTCAATCTAGTTTTTATACCGTATGACAGTAGCGCGTAATACAGTGGATTACAAATTTGTGGGTGCTAGCGTACCCAGCCAGGAGGATAGTTACCTTAATACTAGATCAATACTTTGGTCATTTCTCTTACGTACTCTTCCTAGAGGATGCTAGTGAAAATCCAAAACACTAGTATTGTTCGCATTTAGCGTCCTGTGCACGTTACCTTGCGAATTCGATTTTACTTCCTCGTGATGACAAGGTCAGAAGTTGTGTGTACTTAGCGTGCATATTGATTTACTTAGGTGAAAATAAAGCAGTAGTGATCCAGGAAGTGGAATCCTCGGGAACAGCCCAACTCATTGATATACAGCACACCGCAGCCGTGAAGGCTGGAGACAGGGTTACAGCCATCGGAAGTAGCCACACAAGTCTTGCATACCTCGCCTTGCCAGGGGTCAGCGTATTTGATGCTGCAATGGCCTCAGAAAAAGTGCAGCAAGCTGTAGGCAATATTCGATTACAGCTTGAGCGACCTCTTGAGCAGGTATTCGTTTTTCCAAAAACTTTTCTTTGTGAGCTTTTATATGTTAGTTGACTTGTTTGGGACTCAACAAGCTCTACTGGAGCAGATGCTTGGAGGAACGACTTGTTTTAGACCTTCACATTTTATTTAACTTACATGTCCTTGAACACACTCCGATTTTCAAATGGATAGGTTGAACCATGAAGAGATATGATAGTGAACTTAATTTGATATATTTCTCGTCGTAGATTTCATGATTAACCTGGAAGTTTGATTTGGCTACAGGCACCTCCAGAAACTGCAAACATCTTTGACAATGAATATGTGCAAGATGGGTATACCTCCATAAAAGTGGTGATGCGAAGACAATTCACTTTGACACTCCGAAGCAAGAGCTTTTTATATGCTCGTATGATTCAGGTATAACACGAACTATTTAGGATACCATTTGGGTAAATTAGATTCTCTATGGTTAAATCTTTGATTAAGACCACATCTAAATATCTCTTCTAAACATGTGAGTATTTCTCATCATTTGTTTGCAAGAGAAATGGATTGGGGCCAAGCCGAACCTTTTGGTTTTGATAGAATGTGTCCACGTCCTTTGGCAAGTTGCCAAAACATCTTCTGTTTGTTCTTTTAGGACACGTTCCATGACAGGTGGCACAAATGAATGGGTGTGTCAAGAAAGACAGATAGATTCCGAGGTGAGGATATTTGAATAGGTTTGAAGTCTGAGGTTTTCTTCTCCCAAGTTGTCGGTACTGACAAGTGTAAGCAACAGCTTGCGATTTTGGGAATTTTCACTGGGACTTTATTTTACCAGGTTCCCACCACTTCAGATCGCGCTGATATGGATCTCCGGAAGTCCCTTGCATTCCTTGCAGCCATGACTCTATCACTCAACAGCATTTCTCAAATACCTGTTCAACTTGACGAGCGAACAGTTACAGTCTCTATCAATGCTCTGAGTCATTGCAGTTTGACAGGATAAATTGTCAAACGTGATGAGTACGTAATTATGTTCGTTGGTTGCTGTGACCTTCAAGTATAGATTTTCTACCACACAAGACTCATTGGCATGTTTCTATACGTTTCCACAGTCGGACCTATCAAGTTCTGTTCCGGAACATTGTCCAACTTCGAATCACAAGTCATTTTATATAACACAATTTGAGGCTTGATGGCAGTGGGTAACATCTCATTTCGACTCATCGTAAACGCCTTTTGTGCCTTCAGTGCATCCCTGACAATGAACAATTTGCTTGTCCAGGTCTTTGAAAAACAATATTCGGCAAGATTTTTCCGGCCTTATGCATATTTGCTTGCATGCACTTTAAGTCAAATTCCTTTGACACTTGTAGAGGTAATATTCGCCATTTAATGCAATGTAACAGTTTTTTATGTTCTTACACCCATGTGGAAAAGAAAAAAGCTCCAGAGAACGACCTTGCAGATGCAATCTGGGGTTGAGACTGAATTTTTCAGTGTGAAGTCATTCTGATCCTGGTCGATCAGTTTTGTGTTCTCTGGTTGGGTGCCTGAGGTTGCGACTACCTCTTTCTAACGATTTCGATTGATTCTCTTTTCTGCAGATGGTGATATATACACCTTTAGTGTATTTTTTGACTGGGTTGACATTGGCTAACAATGGTGCTCATTATATTACGTATGCTATTGCTGCTTTTTTATGTGCGAATACATTTGCAATGTTCACTAGATTCGCAGCCTCTTTGTGCCACACTAAAGAATCAGCGAGTGGTATTTCAGGTGAACTTTCCAATAACGGAAAAAAAAAAAAAAAAAAAAAAAAAAAAAGATCAACACGGATTGTTTTGTAGTATTGTAAAAGCACCACTGTATGAATAAACGAGGCTCATATCAACATGCTACATCTAGACAGACTAGTTTTGCTCAGAATTCATGATCTCAGATTGGGACTTGTATTAGTCCTAATTTAGTGATCTAATATTTTGCAGGTCTTTGTATCACATTCTTTCTTCTCTTTTCTGGTTTTCTGATTGCTAAAAACAAGGTGCCTGACTGGTGGATCTGGGTGTACTACATTAGCCCTCTTCAATGGGCTATTACAGCTCTAATCTGCAACGAGTTCCTCTCTGATACCTACAGTCAAGTAAGTGGAATTCTGTAACTAGACACAGTCCTCGATTACCTGCAGAGTAGACAGAACTGTCAGGAACAATGATGCTACCATGCATATTTTTGTATGTCATAATAAGTTATTACAATGTATGAGATCGCAGCAATTTCATAATAAAGTTCAGTTTGTCATGGTCTCCCAATCTTTACTTGGGTACTTGGAGTAAATTGCAAGTATGGCGTTTTTCTAGCAAACAAAGTAACCTCGACACGAAAATTAGGTCATTACTCCTTGAAAAGTGAATGCCATTCGTGAAGTCAAATCATACTCGTGTGGAGTCAATTCTTTGGTCCTCATCAGACAAAATTTTGCATCCGTGATGTGGGTGACAGCCCTGCAATAACTCAATTACCTACTGCCGTGGGAGGAGTGATATGAATATCGGACAAGCTTATTTGGCCATTTACGATTTTCCCACGACTACTCTTCGTGGCTATTGGGTTCCTGTGCTTGTTCTGTTCTTCTACTATTGGGTATTGAGCTGCTGCTGCTTCTGGACAGTTGCTAATGTTCGGCATGAAGAGGTGATTGAATCCCACTTTGACTTGGCGGATATGAACTTTGAAATAGTTTTAGCGTCTAGTTTGCGCTGTAAAGTTCAATATAGGATGAACGCTAAGATGGTCACGTCGATGTGCCCTCAGAGGTCTCAGATGTGTAAATAGTTAGAAGTCTTAGACACTTGAAGGACTTTCGAGTAAGGATTCAAAGTGACAATTCACTTAAGATAATCTAGAAAATCTGAGAAAATACTTAAAAATTGCAATAAATGTAAGTGGACTTGAAACTTTGTTCTCAAACGTTTTGATTTTTGTTTAGTGCTATAGCACCGTTATTATCTGAATTTTTTCCTGATCGTGGGATTAGAGAGCTGCTTTTATGTGGAATACTCACGTTGGGATTAACAAGTGACATCGTATGGATTCCTGTATTATTGCTGTCTTCAGAATTATTGCTGTCTTCCTAATTGAGAGTTTGTACATTGCACTGGTTACACCACCCTTGAGTATTGGTTGTGGAATATGATAGGTGAAACTCCCTTCCATTGCTCGACTGTTAAGGAATCAAACTGCGATTTCAAAACCCTTAGAGGGAAAAACAAAATTTCGATTTTCCAGAATTTTTAAATCTGTGCAGAACGCCAACAATGATGTTGGCATTAAGTTTGAGCCAGCAATGCTGTCTTTTCACCAGATAGTATACGAGGTACTTCCATTTGCAGAGCTTCTAATTTTGCTTATTTATTATGTTTCGTTCAGTTTCTTTGAAGCCTTTTTGACATGAATTTAGCTATATTTATTTTTTCCTCGAACAAAACCTGAAAATGTTGGGGATTGTTTCAAAAGAGATTTTATCATTTTGTCTCAGATAAAAATTCCAGGCATTAAAGATCCTCGAGTATTGCTTTCCAATGTCTCCGGATTTTCAAAACCAGGCACCATGACTGCTTTGATGGGTAGCAGTGGTGCTGGGAAAACAACCTTACTTGATGTTCTGGCTGGTCGCAAGACGACAGGCAGAATACTTGGTGACATTCTTGCTAACGGCTATCCCAAAGAGCAAGAGACGTTTGCACGTATTACTGGGTGTGTTTGATACAAGATGCATTTTTGCGGTGTTATATCTTCATTCATTAATGATTAGTATCAAACATTGAGGCTTTGTTGAGTGGTTTTTTAGAGCTGTTTCTGAGGTAATAAAAGAAGGTAAAATAAATATGTATTTTGTTTTAGTGTGCAATCCTAAAAAAATTCGGACAGGTATGTGGAACAGAATGACATCCATACTCCGTTTATAACCGTGCGGGAGTCTTTCCAATTCAGTGGTTCACTCCGCCTTCCACGAGGAACTTCTGCTGGAGCTCGACAAAAGTTCATCGAGGAGGTAAATGTATAAACTCTTTGCGCGGCGATACAATAAACATCCTTCATTGCATGCTTTCAAAATGTAGACATATTTTATTTATCCAAATTCTGATTGTGACATCATGTCTGATCGGATGACAGAAATTTGTCTCTATTTTAGAATAGTCTTGTCCTTTGTGAATGACCAGTTGGGTTGTTTTTCAGTTCCATGCATGTATGTTTCTTTGGCACCATAAAGGCCGTGTCTATACTTTTTGACTATTTGCCTCTTTTGCTCTCACCTCAGTAGAAATCTGGGTGTTAGTTTGTCCCTGTTTTGAAGCAGCGTATTTGTATTTTGTAGATGAAACATTAGCCAATATCCAAATGACTAATATTCAGATGAACTGTAGTCATGAAATTGTTTCATACACTTTCCATGACAGGTTTTGAAATTACTGGAATTGAATGAGATAGAAGATAAAATAGTTGGTGCTATCGGAGATGGAGGCCTTTCAGTGGAGGAAGCAAAGCGCCTCACCATCGGAGTTGAACTTGTAAGTCAGATAAAAATCGATCAAATTTCCGGTGTTTCATAACTGTGGAGTACATGTGGCTTCATATTAAGTTTGAATTTACTGTTTGTTTCTTATTTCTGTTATTTATTTATTTATATTGTTTTTTTATTGTTTTTTAACTTCTTATGCTTCCTGCAGGTAGCAAACCCAAGCATTTTGTTTCTAGATGAACCAACCAGTGGCTTAGATAGTCGGGCTGCTCAGGTTGTCATGCGAAGTATCACCAATATTGTCGAATCAGGGCGTAGTGTAATTTGCACAATCCATCAACCTAGCCGAAGACTATTTTTCTGCTTCAGTCACCTAATGTTATTAAAACGAGGTGGTGAAATTGCGTATTTTGGACCCATTGGAGAGCAAGCGCGGGACCTTCTGGTATGTTTCACTAAAACATGATGCATGCCTTTCATGCACACAAATTCGATACAGCTCAATATAAGTAGATTAATACTGCACTTTTATGGAAGAGTAGCATGTTTCATGTCAGCCATAGTACAACGTTTACATTTGTGTCTACTATGAGTTTATGAATGACAAGTATACGGATCTAGAGTAGGATTTTCTCATAATGCTTCTAGCATCTCTTCTGATTCAACTTGGAATCGATCAGTACACTCTTCTGAAAGTTTCTGAAATTTCACGTATCTGGTGACGTTCAAGCCATGTTTTTGTGTTTTACTTGGATTCAGTATGGATTTTTATAAAGATTCTGCTCATGCAAGCGAGTGAACCAAAATGTCACAGGAATATTTCCACTCACGTCCAGGAGTAAGTGAATGTTCTGCCGACCAGAATCCAGCATCATACATGTTGGAAATAATTGGTGCTGGGATTGGCCATACTGCTGAGCGCGATTTTGCACGCGACTATCAGCAGAGCTCTTTAGCTCAACAGTATAGGATTTTTATAAAGAATCGTATGTTGAGAGGCATATTCTGATCACTTGATATATAAGTATTGCTTCAGTTTTTATTTATTTGTATAGAGGTAATGCATGTTGTAAGTATATTGAGGTACTTGCTATTCCCTGGTATAGATGCCTCTAATTAGTTGGGTGCATTCACTTTGATAGCTTCTTTAATGCACATACTGCAGTTAAAGAACTTGAAACCTACAAATTTGGAAGAGGAAAGTTTGGACTGGAGCCGATTATCAAAGGATACGGTGCAACATATTGGCAGTTGTGCAAGATCGTTACTGTTCGACAATTTAGAACTTATTGGCGGAATATTTCTTACAGGTTAGTTTTTCTACCCATTAATTGACTGAAACTATAATTTGGCCGATCTTACTAAGTTACTGAGATTCAAATCTGTGAACTGGATTTGTAAGTTCATGCATAGAAACGGATCTAGAAAGTACACGAAAATTTGCAATGCAACATGAGTCGCAATAGACTGCTTCAATGATGTCAAGTCGATGAGATTTGGAAGTAAAGTGCCACACAACTCAGGCAATTGTTATTTTCAGATCTTGAGTCTAGTATTCAAACTGATCAGGTATACTTTAGAATTTAATTTTGCAAGTTGTTTGCAGTTTCGGGAGAATGATGCTGATGATTGTCCTTGGCTTGATTCTTGGCACTACTTATTATCAGGTCTTAAGAACTTTGATGTCTGTGTACATTAAACGTGTTTTCAAGAAAAAAAATGAATCAAATTACTATTTTAATAATATGTTACTGTATTCTTTGGCCACAAATTAATAAGACGTTTCGATTTTAAGACGTTACTAGTGATCGAGGTTAGTAGTAATACCGTTGAAATTTCTTGCTAGGTTAGGGGAATTTTTTAATGCCTTACTTGGCGGTTACTGATTTGGCAGATTAAGTACGATAACATTGCTGGCATGAGTTCTCGAATGGGCCTCATATATATAGGTGTCATCATGGTGGGTTTAACAAATGCGAACAATGTCATTCCTCAGGTACCATGAATGAAATATATTTAAAAACATAAACTCACACATACAAACACACACACTTATAGATAGATAGATGGACAGATATAGCGAGCGAGAATATTATCTCAATCATTTTCACCTAATTGTTCACGTTTAAAGTCACTGGTGCCCAAGTTTATTCAAAATGTACACAATTGTTATAGAACAAGATGTAACTGGAATTAGATGAGGGTTATCAGTTGCCTAATAGCACAGGTTATAGTAATGTTACAAAATCCTTGTGTTAATATGTGAGCTGTCAGGTACCTGTCGGTAAGGAATATAATTCAAATGTGGTTTTGTCGCTTGAAAGGTTAATGCTGAGCGTGTGGTTTACTACCGTGAACGAGCTTCTAATATGTATCCAGTCCTTTTCTACAGCATGTCGTGGACGTTAGCTGAGGTATGCATCAAAGATCCTTGGAAATAGCAGTAAAATAATAGATGAATATACAACATTGTAAATGACAAAGACCAGTGGTATGTGTATCTGGAGGTGCCAGGGGTTGTTATGCTTCAGCATATTCCCAGTACGCCGACACGTATTTGGCATTGTTTAGATCATTTACATGGAACTCCTACACGTCAATAAGTACTGAAACCATTAGATGTTAATGTTGGAAACATTGCTGTTCACGAGTTTCTTCTGTGGTTTTCTAATCGTGTTCACTGTAAAGCATTGATCTTCGATCTTTGATAGCAACCCTTCCAACGTTTTTTCACCATCTCTATTCTTTTCCTAAATTTTAAAAATTTAACATTTTTCAGTATACTGGACATTTGCAGATGTAACTGAATTTGGCAATGTGCTACAATATGGATGATCCCATTAATCACTAATATTGCTGTTGGTGCACTTTTTCAGATTCCTTATCTGTGTATTTCATCTCTACTTTTCTGCTCGATATGTTTCAGCTTGGGTGGAGTAGCCACAGATTCTGCTAAGATTTCTTTTGAATTTTGGATAATATTGTGTGAATATACAGCCTGCATCACATTTTTCGGTATATTTCTGGCGATGATGACTCCAAATGCACAGGTAGGCTACTATGTCATTTCGGGTTGCATAGAAGATGGATTAGGTCGTTCTGTAAGTCTCGTTTTTGGAATATGCACTGTTAACGCTTATCAATTACGACCTAATCTCTAAAATATTCTGTAACATGCAACCTAGAGCGTAGATTATGTACCTAGCATTTGGCTCTTAATCGATCTTTGAGGTTTAGGGGCACAAGTACACAAGCGTAGGTCTGTACTCTTTGGTCATCATCCGATGTCGTTTGATTGAGAGAAGTACACTAACCTTCTGGTGAGTGGCATCATCTTGACCTTTCTATTTTTGGTTTATAGGTGGCAACCCTCATTATTCCTGTGGTTGTGAATATTTGGTAAGTAAGTCACATTTCTTCCATGCATTGCTTGAATCCTAGCCATCAGTTAGAGGGTGACCTAATGATCTGTAGCTCATGGATCCGACGCTTGTAAGTCTAGCAAGTACTGCAGAAAGAAAAGTGTTTGTAAATTTCACTTATGTGTGCGTGTTCTTTGCATGTAACACTCGAACTTCAAGTGGTTTGTCTTGCCAGGAATATGACGTCAGGTTTCATGATACCAAAGAAAAAGATTCCAAGTTTTTGGATGTGGTTATACTGGATCAACCCCACACAGTTCACCTTGAACAGCCTTGCTGCCATAGCATTCCACTGTGACTTGGACAATCCTCCTTGCGATACGTGCACTTTGCTTCCCACCAGCTGCCCTGAATGCCCTTGTGTACGCGTGCAAGATCAGGACAACATGTTGGCTTGGTATATCATGAAGGACTCAATGTCACTGGATTACACCAAAAGGTATGAGAATATGGGGGTTTTACTTATGTTCAACCTTTTCTTTATGATCGCCAGTGTGTTCGCTCTTAAGTGCATGAAATTTGATCGGAGATAAGACGGTGGTGGCCACAATACTATTACTGCTCGTGCAAATTCATACGACGATTCTAAGTTCGTCAAATTTGTGAACTTGGCACCACTTTGGAGACATTTTTTGATATTTACAAGAGAATAGTTACAGTTTAGATGCAACTTCCACAAGCTGTACTGTCCGCAATTTTACTTGAAGTTGAATTTTCCTTTGCTAGTGCCTGCACCGTAGAACATATTTACCTTGCTGCACAACAAGAAAGCAACGCAATGGAGCTCATCTGTAGTCGTATTTTCAGATGAGCTACCATATGTTCTATGGCCACCTCTTTGCCACGACAGGAGGAGATGCTCTTCAAGACAGTTGCCAATTCTTCCAGCAGGTGAAGTATTTGTGGGTACTAGATCTTCGTAGACTGCTCAGATCTTCGCTTCAACTTCTCACACATTCGCATACAGATGATGAAGAAATTGCGCTGACACCTTATTCGTCTCATGTTGTTTCTTGTTCATTCTTCAATCTTTAAGCAACCCAATGAAGATACAGGTACATTTCATGTTGGTCAAATTTGTTACAGTTCAGATCAAATCATCTTGATTTGATCTGATTTCAGATCGATTTGATCGGATCTGCATGAATTCCACAGATCTGGAACTGACATAGCTCAGATAAAATCAAGAAAAAATTTTGTATTCTGCAGATTATTTGGTTGGTTGAAAATTGAGTCTCTCCATGCCTAGACGATGGGGTATTTAAGAATTTAATAGTAGAACAATTTCTTTTATCCTACAAATGATCAGTCTTCGTCCCTTTCGGTGGTTTCTATATTAACCACTGCTACAAGTTGATACATTATTTGCAATGGAGCTTGAGGCCACAATGGAGACTTGTTGATTAATGAGCTCCATACAGCGTCATATAAGGAGTCTGTATATTTAGAAACCCATTTCAAAAGGTCATGGTATAAAAATAGGTATATGTATATATATATATATATATATATATATACACACACTAAGAATAATCATAATAAAAATTACCACAATAATAAATAAATAAATTTGCATTTAGCCTCATCACGTATTTATTTAAGTTTTTTGTTATCACTTTAAATTTTTTAAAAATATTTGTGTATTATAGACAACTATTTATATAAATTTCGTATATCATTCTTTTTATTGTGATAGCATAATTTTACCTATTTTTTATAAAATATTTTATAAAGTTGAAAATGAATTACATTTGAAATTCGTCATCATCATCATATATATATATATATATATATATATGTGTGTGTATGTGTATTAGAAGTCATTCATATAATTTACAACTCATCTTTAAAAATAAATACAACACAAAATTAATAAAAAAAAATATATCAAAAAAAGAAATAAAGTAAAATGTAAGCACTACATTCATAAACGTAAAAATACATGTTAAACTAAATTTAGAAATTTAAATAAAAGTATTAATATTTGGCATAAATACTACTATTATTATTTTTAATACTCATAACAATAAATTCGAATCAAATTCTTTTATTGAAAAATTAAAAATTAAAAATGATTAAAGTCATGAGCCTTTACTGCACATGTTTGTAGTCTGTACTATCAATTTAATGCAGCTCCAAGTTGTCAACTGGTAGTGCAAAGTCAACTATACATATAACTCCATTAAATAAAGTAAACATACAAAATAATTCTTAAAATATATTTTTTCATTTCTAAAATTCCCTGAAAATTTAATCATTTAATGTACCAAGAAAATAATTTAAGACATCAATTATTGCTTTATTTATGGTTTTCATAGAATATTTTCAGAATGGGTAAAATAATTCGTAAAAATAATTATAATTTTATTTACAAAATCAAATACCATAGCAGATCACTATAGACGTTTTATGACACGTTTACTAAGTTCTTCTTCATTTATAATATATATGCACTGTAAATTACGAGTGCAGAGATACTTATTGATCATTGATCTTTATTTGGCATGTTAAGATCCAGAAAGCTGCAAATCATGATCTTTGTATTAAAATAGAACAAAAAATCTTGTCTAGATTCATGGATATTGCATTGTAAAGTTTCAAAAGACAGGGAATGTGGACTACGGTTACCAAAGCATTGCACCAAAGAGGGCTTTGTATTCGATTTTGGACAAATTGCAGCGCATTATTTGATCCTCTTTATTTATTGGGGGGACAAAAAATAAAAAAATAAAAAAATAAAAAATCTAGATTCCTTGTAAGAGTTCAAGCATCCTCTATGTTTCTAAAGCAGGAATGAACCAAATCTAAGTCCACGATGCGACTAATATTAGCATGTCGAGGAATGAGGAAATGAAGAGAAAATGACAAAACCTTCGTGCACACCGAAAATCATTCACCTACTATTTGATTTATTCATTGGGGTTTTCAACACAAGGTGTAAATAATTCCTAAATAATAAATAACAAAAAAAGAGAATACTCGTAAATGGTATTACTACTACTGTTGTTATACATGCCAACAACGAGTGCTATTTTATCACCTGTTCCTCCAATCAGCCCAAAATTCATGCTCTTGATGGGGATCATAACATAACCCAGCTATTGAGTCTCCACCATAACCCCATCAAAAGAAATTTCCACATGTTGATTGGTATTAAAATCCTATCCATTCCATGCTCACACAAATACAAATTTCATAACAATACATCTTACCAGTGGAGAAAACATCACACAGCATATGAAGAATCAGTCAAGGGAGCAATTAATTAATTAATTAATTAAGACAAGATTGTCCCTTTGCTACCATTGGTTGTAATATTCATAGATGGGCGGGGCAGGGCGGTGGTGGTTGGTGGTTGGTTGGAGTGGAATGCTCTTTGTAACAGACATTAAGCGAGTCTGCTACATGGCCACCAGTTCATTTGTAAACGATTGTGATTTTATGGGCACAAATGCATGTTGTCCCACAAAAATGTACGTGGGTGGCTTGTGTACACACAATCCAATGAAAAAGGATGACCAACCTAAATAGGCAGTAAAAAGTTGTCAAGACGAGGGGGCTCTCCGGAGAATGCGGGTAAAAATCTGTGTTTGTGAATACAGAATTTTATCAAAAAGCGGAGACTATTACAAAACATATATTTTTGGTGATTTGGAATGTCTGGGGATTTTGGGTCCTGATGCTGCTTGTTGCTGATGCTGCTTGAAATCACCACACATCCAAACCATACAAAATAGTTGAGAACCATATATATATAACTTTATCATTACATATAAATAAACTAAGTTATATATATATATTATATATGTATGTATGTATGTATATATATACATATATATATATATTTTTTTCTTGATTGAAAGAAATACTTTCAAAAGTCTAAAAGTTATTATTTGTATGCATTCAGATCAGTTATGGGTCATAATTGTTATAAATATAAGGTGAATTGTTACATGTGTGTTGGTGTGTTTTAGATTGTAGAGTCTTATTCATCTTGGAGACATCATGAGCTTTAAATACTCTTCATTTTCAAAAATATTTTAAAGTTAATTCTATTCAAAAACCATATGAAGTCCATGCAAATTAATGACCAATTAAAAGAAATTTATTTATGTATATACATATATACATGTTGTAGTTTTATTAATGAAAACATTACCAATACATACATACATATATAATATCAGTCAGAATGCATCCATTGGCATTTATGATATGTATGATGTGAACAATGTAGACAGGCAGGTAGAGAGAGTATGAAGTTATGATGTAAGAGAGTTTTTGTAATAGAAGATGTTTAAGGTGGTTCTTAGTTAGAATAGGATGTGCTTTAAAAATGTAGTTGTGTGATTGAAGATCAAATTTCACACAATTGAATAGAAGAAATGAATCTGGTTATAGGTTTTATAAATCCTTGGCAAAATTACAAGGTATGGAAGAGTAGATGGTTAAAAAAAAAAAAAAAAAAAAAAAAAAAAAACTTTGAACAATTCATTTTATAGTTAACTTATATGCATAATTCTAGCACTAGTATAAAAGATAAATTTGTTGATGTTGATATAATAACTTGATATATTGTTGAAGGTAGCTAAATAGTGTAAAGTTAGATTTTATAAACAAAAAAACTGCTCTTGTTCATAGAGGTTTCTTGTATAAATAAAATAGAATTTGAATAAGAATAGTAATTTATAAATCAAAGGAAGAAAGTTAGAAGTATATTAGCTCTTTGTCTACATGAAAATTAGAAAAATTAAATAAATATACTATACAATAGTACCAAATTAATTTATTTAGTATAATACAAGTAGGTGATGAAAAGATGTTGTATATTAATATCTGTTCACTATCATGAGAACATCAAGCCATTAAAGACCAATTCTAAATAAAGAATATATTTATATTAAAATCATTACATTAAGAAAAAATTAAATAAGATAAAAAAATCCATAGACCTTATTTATAACTTATGAAATTAATTATTTTAGGATTTATTATAATTTTTTTAAAAAAATCTCATATAATTTAATGTAGTATGTATTAAAAATTTATGAATTAAAATATTATTAAAGATAAAAATTAAGAAAAAGATTATAAAATAAAACTATACTCATGTATTTTTTTAAATAAAGTAATTAAGCAAAGAAGAGAGAGATATATACATACATATATATATATATATATATATAAGTTAGAAAAAACTAAAGTATATTTTGTTAAATACAAAGAAAGCAAAGCAAAGAGCCTTGAATTAAGATTACAATATAAGAAAGGTATTTATGAAGTTGATAATGGTTTTTCTCTTGCATTTATACATACTTACTATTAAAATATCTTATGATCCAAACATCAAGTTTTCAGTTGTTTTTAACTTGGCTTCCTAAAAGTAGGTAACTTATAAATCTATTTTAAATAGCAATGTGGCATATTTAAAGAACTCCAAAGATATCATCTACATCCAAAAATTCCTTAGAAGATTCTAAAAGAATGTATTATTTATCTAGTAGGTTTTTATTTATTTCTAATTACTAATATTTACTAAAATAATACATGCATCTATTACAAATCTTTTTAAATAAAATATATTAAAATATATATTTTAAAATAAACTTAAATAGAGCATTACAAAAAAAATTTAAAAAATCCTATAAAATTTTATGATTTTAAATAAAAATTATTAAAAATACATATTTTAATAGATTTTGCATCAATTTAAATAATAAATTGATATAAAATACTTAAGATTCTTATAATTAGCATAAAATGTTTATTATTACTATTGAGTTATTTTTTAATTATTTTTTATTATCATTTTGAAATTATATAATTGCTATTAATATTGTAGCAAAAATAATTTTCACGGTTCTTCATGATGTTCCATTGTTTTAAAATCATGGTCTTTTTGTAATTAGATTATTGTTGTAGAAATGGTTACAATGTTTGTACTTGCATTCTCTATTTCAAAAATTATAATACTGCCTCTATAATTTTGGCTCCTTACTGGAGATGGTGGCCATTATAGTTTATAAATTGGACAATTTTAACAATAATATAAGATTGATCCTTAGTTCCAACATTTGTCATTTGTGTACAACTTTTGATTTGGTTGAAATGCATCACAATGGACTTCATTTGGCTATGATATCATTGTTTTATTTAGTGTTCTTCCTATGAAGTGATTATTTGGGCTTTGAGGATTATATTTGTAGGATAGTAGATGCCAATAATTGCATATGTTACACATAGGCAATTGTTGTACCAATCTTGGTGGCAATATGTTATGACTATGCAATATCACCTAGTCTTCTTGAACTTTGTATAGTTGTGTCTATTGTTTTATGTAATGTGGTGACTTGCATATAAATGAATTCTTGTTGAAGTGAGGTATATAAATCCTCATGGAACGAGTTTGTTGATACATAGACATTCACTAGTATTTTTAGTTTGTTCAATATTTTTTTGAATTAATTGTAAAAGATAATTATTAGTTTGTTTGGATGTTGTTTAATCGCACTTAAGACTTGTAATACTTCCTTATTCCTTTGAAAAATATAAAATTTCTTAAATAGCTCTTTTTTCCATTTCTTCTTAAAATGTGACATGATTTTGTTCCTCAAAGTCATAAGCTCAATCAATTATTGTGACTGGTATAGTAATTGATGTAATTATTGACACTTTAGTTATTGTGGAGATAAGTTGCACCAAAGATAGTAGTATAGTAACTACAAAAATATTTCCTAATGTAACAATGTTTTGAGTTTGTAATCTTATAACTAGTTCTTGGATTCTAGTATCCATTTTTGCATTTTTGGCATTAATGGCTAAGACTAGTTTGACAATCATATAAAAATATTTAAATTTATTTCATTTATAAAACTTTATATTATCTTATAATCTATATTTAGATTATTATTTGAAATAATACATATCAAAAAATTCATTTAAATTATATCTATATATATATATATATATATATATATACTTATATCTTTAGATTTTTATTTTACAATTGAAACATGTTCTAATTTTTAAAATAAAAAATTCTTTGAAGTATTAGAGAATATGTATATCTATTAAGTATCTAATTTTAAAAATAAAAAATAATTAAAATATTTATAAAACCAAAATATAAACTAATTGTGTTTTAATAAATTTAACTTAGTATTGCATATACACTTCTACAAATAGTAACTATTTTTGATTTTAAATGGAACATTTAATCTTTAACTTGATAACAATGAATAATAACAATAATAAAATAGTTTTTTATATATATATTTTTATTATCTAAAAAATCAATTTGACAAAGGTTTGCAATGACAAAAGAATTGAATGTTAAAATAGTTTGGGAATGTAGAATACAGATGGGTAAATATACATCAAATTTTATTTTTTAAAATAATAAGCAAAACAAATTTCATAATTTAAAAAATCAAAACTAGTTATTTTTTGCACAAGCGTGTATGTAGGAAGTGTCCATGCAGATAAAGGAAGGTGTCCACCTAACAATTCCCTTATTTTTCCAATAAGTAGAATTCTTTAGACATTTACAACAATAGTAATTCTTTAAGATAACATAATAATAATAATAATAATAATAAAACTTGGTTAGTTACTCTCATGGTTGGATGGGGTAAACAAGAATTGATTCACCCTAATTTTGCTTCAGGAACAAGAATCGTGCACTCCAATCTTGCAGTTCACGGTACACGGACAAACCACGTGGAGCAACGTGCCTCACACGTGTGACAGGCCTGTCACCTCACGCACATCCATCGGAGGCGGGGGCAGGAATAAGGACGGCGGGATATTTTAAGAAAGCGGACAGAGACGCCACCACAGCAGACAGACGTTGGTTTATGCTTTTGTCCTTTGCCCCGCCCCTGCCCCTTCTTCCACCCACCTTCATTCACTACCTCTTTCTTGCACTCCTTTGCTTTAGCCGCTTCGCTCTTTCTTACCGACCTTGGCTCATGCGAACATTCTCGTCCACAGATTTCTGGAAACTTCCACTTGTTGTAGCTGCTTTTTGGCGATTTGTGAACGGAGTTGGAAGCGCGTAATCAAATCTGCGAACTCGTACATGTTCTGGTTTTCACGTCGTGACAACCACCGCGCGGTGGTCATGCTTCTGCTGCTCACAGTGCAACTAAGAGAAAGATACACCGGCCGCGGGATTGATAAACTGCCTCCTTATAACTGGCGAGTTTTCGGGCCTGCAGAGGAAAGGAGTGATTCGAGTGCACTGTAAGTGTGGTTTAGACGATTTGTGTGCAGGGACTTGGAGCCACCCATACTTCGGATAGTGAGCGACTGCGTTTTTCACGGCACGTTGTTATGGATTCTGAGAACCTCCCCGTAATTCCCCTTGCCCATTTTCCTCCTTATTTCTCGCCAAATGTACACGAGGTCTTGAACGAGTGTAGGTTACGGAGTTGGTTACATAGTCCGCGAGTCCTTGCGAACGCTTTGGGATTCTGTTGCGCATCTCGAGACTTTGCAACACACTCCGAAACTCTGACTTCATTAACGTATGATTCCAGCATAGTTGTGCAGGTGCTGGCCTATTGAGGTTAAGCTTTGCCAGGGTGTGTACGAACAAAATAGGTAGAACTCACCAAAGTAGTGAGGCACCACCGTTACCACTTGTGGTTGGACTGAGTTTACTGAGCACACTCTCACGTTGGAAAGCAAGATCCTGGTCTAGTTACGATAGAGGGATTTGTTCCCTTAAGAAGGTTGAGTTCCTTTCCTTCGTCGCAGCGTTTGGAACTGGGACTCTACCTTCTCAAAGAAACAACGCCTATGGAAGAACGCGCGAACTTCGTCGGGGGCTCTGACTTTGTGTCTTTCCTCTCAAAACTCTCTTTCTGAGCGGTGATTTTCCTTGGAATTCGAAAGACCTAACTGTCACTGCTGTTACATCAGTTTTTGAATCTAGAAATGAGCTAGAATACAATGCTTATAACGTTCTAATAATCATTTTAGAAATGAAGTAAGTGCAGAGCGAGAGCAGCATTTACTAATATAGACCGTTGGTGGTGTTGATCCTTTAAGGAACTATCATTAAATGTAGATTTCGGGCTATGGGTTGTGGTTTTCAGATTGGATGTGTAACCTCATCTCAATCTTATTTTATTGTGAAGTTTTTCTTGTGATTTGTATATAATTTTCGTTGTAATGAGTTGCATCGTCTGTACTGAATGCGCGAACGCAGGCATAACTTAAATATTTCGTGGGATTATTAATAGATACTTACCATTCCTCTGAACCGGGTCGAAGTCGTGAGAATGTTTTTGTGTCGCCTTAACGAAGCGTGGTGATGGGATTCCTCGACTTTTCGCAGGTGCTTCCACAAATGATATGGGGTTACATTGTTACCTTTCTCGAGGACGCGAAGGATCTTGCAATTGCTTCGGTAGTATCCAAATGTTTTCGGGAGGCATGTTACAGCGTTCGATCAATCCGTATAAATGTGACTGATAAAGATCATGAAAACGCCCGAAATAATCACAATAATGCCGAACAGCGGTCGAATGTCGAACTTCAGCAAAATCAAACGTCATCAAAGTTGAATAAAGCAGAAGCGACTTCATCCGAGGGCCGGTCACGCTCGGGTTCAAAGTTTCGAAACGTGAAGGATAAAGTGTTAATGATTCTGTCCGAGAGGCAATGCATAGAGCAACTACGTATTGAAGCTGAGCCGAAGTTGCAAGCAAAAAATGTGCCCGATGTTGAAAAAAGACGAACGGACTTTTGGATTTGTGATCCATATTCTTTGAAGGAATGGTTACCAGGCATTGGTTCTACGCTTCAACAACTATGCATAGTGGATTATGGGCAGCAGGCTATAATGCGCAGGTCGAGCATTGTTATGATTTTATCGAATAACTGTAAGTGGCGTTCTCATCCATACTCATTTTCGCATCCAATGTTTGAATCGGATGCAGTCTTGGCAATATGTACCGCAGACGCGCGAGGTCAGAGAACGCAGGAGCAGTAGTACTAATGATAGTTTCTTGCAGGCCCATTGCTGACGACATTAGAGCTGAGAAACATGTTCATTGATACTAGTCAATGTGGTGTAATGAACTCAATGAAAAGATTGACATTACGCTGCGTGAAAGTAGTTCCTCCAGCTTTAAATGATATAAATCATTGCATGCCCAATCTAGACACATTGGCGCTGCTTGGAGTATTTGGTGTTGAGGGAGGAGACTTGAAATTTGAGAAGATGAAAGTCCTATGCTTGGGTCTATCTTCTCCAGCCAAATCCATTTCCTTGGATCTTCCTATGTTGGAAAAGTTGCAACTTAAGATGCAATGTCCAGAGAATCTCAAGATATGGGCACGTCTTCTTAAATATGTTGCCTTTAATTTGGAGGTGCCGGAGGGATCACATGTGCAGTTGCGTTGTGAACAAGTATGGCTTAAGGATGTCACGCTTCAAGGTTTACATGAGCTGTTGTACGGGGCTTCTAGTTTTAATTCATTTGCAGATCTTGTCCAAGCGAATAAAAGGACCTTGAGGAAAATATATTTTGACATTCCTTGTATGGTACTTGGTGAAGATGGTAACTTTATGAGAGTATTGGATTGTTTCCCGTTGACCTTGCCAAAATTTAGTGAATTACACGGTTGTGAAGCATTAGAAGTCCTTAATATTGGACCTGGTCTATGGCATAGTATGGAAAAAAACATCGATCAGCTTAAATTAACGAAGGTTTGGCCAAAAATGCATATCCTAATTCTTCACATGATTTTATTTGATGCATCAGCTTCAACTACCATAATTGAGTTGTTGTTGAGCCCTTTAGTGAAGAATTTAACAATTCGTATTCATACATCTAGTCCTGGAGATGTGAAACTTTTTACTTCTAATGTTGAGCAACTTGTGAGGGCAAGACCTTTTGAGCATATGAAATGGAATTTGGAGAAATGGACTAAGAAACTTTCCTTCAATCATTTCAGTTTTTAATTAAGAAAAATGTGTGTGCAAATATGACATAATTGTCAAATAAATTAAGAATTTTACATCTTTGATTACTTTGGACATGAATTGGTGATTAAGCTTAATATCATTGTCAAATAAATTAGTCAATTTCACTTCTTTGACCATCATAAATATGATGATATGCTTGAGTTCTAGATTATTGTTAAAACAAATGGACAATTTCACATCTTTGACTATCTTGAGAATAGATAGTTACTCAAGATCAACAACATTGCCAAATGAACTAGTCAATTTCACATCTTTGACTATCTTAATGATAGTTAATTACCTACAATTGACATCATTGCCAAATGAATTGTTCAATCTCACATTTTTGACAACCTTAAATATGAAAAGTTGTTGAAGCTTATTATTATTGCCAAATGGATTGGTAAAACTTATATCTTTGATTACCTTGAATATAATTAGTTACTAAAGCTTGACATCAGTGCTAAATAAATTAGGCAATCTCTCATTTTCGACCATGTGAGATTTAAGAAGATTTTCAAGGTTGATATCATTGCCAAATGAATTGGGCAATCTCAAATCTGTAACTATCTTTAATGTAAATGGTCGTTCAAATTTGATACTATTGCCAAATGAATTGGGCAATCTCACATCTTAGAATATTGCCAATAAAGTAGTTGCTTAAGCTTGACATCATTGCTAAATAAATTAGATAATTTTACACCTTTGACTGTCTTTAATGTGGAGTGGAGTTCAACCTTGACATTGTTGTCAAATGAATTGGGCAAATTTACATGGTTGATAACCTTATAAAAAAAAGAGAGTATAATCTTAATAATTTTGCTAATTATATTGAATATTTTTAAATATTTGAGTAAATTTGATACTAGCAATTGCTTAAGTAAATAATGTTGACAATTTCAAATTTTTTACTATCCTTAATTCAAGTAAGTACTCAAATTTGATATTATTGCAAAATATATTGGGCAATTGTACATCTTTGACTTCTTGTGAAATAATTGGGTGCTTAAGCTTGACATCATTATCAAATGGATTAGACTCTTTCATAGTTTTTAGGATTTTTGATATAAATAAGTGCTCAAGGTTGATATCATTGAGAAATCTAGTTATACTGGAAGAATTGAGTATCTTAAGTGTAAAAACTTAACAAACTTCCAAGATGAGTTTTGAAATCAAACTAGTTTGAAGAATCCATGCATGTGGAAATGAAAGGCTTTGGAAGAATCTTTTAATGGAATGAAAAATTTGAAAGTATTGGATAATTGAAATTCTTACAATATAGGAAATTGAAGATGTCAAAAGGGTGAGGACACTTGACATGTTTGAAGAACCTATATATGAAGAAATGTTGGGCTTTGGAAAGTATCTAAGGAGATTGGAAAATTTGGTTGTATTGAAAAAATTAAATTTGACTACTATGAAAAATTGAAGAAGTTGATGAAAGGCTTTGAAAGCTTGACATATTTGAAGAAATTGCACATGAAGAAATGTGAGGCTTTGAAATGTGTAGAACATTGAACAACTTTCAAGAAAGGTTTGAAAGCTTGATATATTTGAAGAAGCTAAGCATGTGGAAATGTGAGGCTTTAGATGAGTTTTCAAGTACAATGAACAATCTAATTGCTTTGAGAGGATTGTATTTCTAATATTGTAGAATATCAAAAGAAATTACAAGGATTTAAAAAATTGACATTTGTGAAGAAGCTTAGCACATGAGAATGTAAGGCTTTAGATGAGATTCCAACTAGATTTTAAATTCCAATTACATTGAAAGAATTATGGCTCTAGAAGTACAAAAAGTTAAAAGAATTGTAAGAACATGTTCAAAAACTTCACATATTCGAAGAAGCTTAGTTTGTAGAAATGTGAGACTTTAGAAGAGTTTTCTATTGGGTCAAGGAATTTAATTTTTTATTAGAAATTTATGTTTCTCCAAGTACTCAAAGTCAAAGAACTTATAAAAAGGGACTAAAAACTTTATATTTTTGAAGAAGTTGACCATGTAGAAATATGAGCTTTTGGAGAAGGTTTGAAGTAGATTAGAACTTCTAATTGCATTAAAGATGTTGGATATTTCAAAGTATTGAATATTATTTAACTTCTACAAGTTTGTAATTTAGTAGATATAATAGTTTTAATTATGGCTTTAGAATTTAGAATTCTTTTTACAAAATATTTTGTAAGTTTTGAATTTATTATCTTCTTTATTTTGAGATTGCTAATTCCAAATATGTAGTCTACTAATTCTAAAAGTTCATAGATTAGTAGATATTGAAGTTTTGATCATATTAGTTTTTGAGATGATATTGCAAAAGTTGGATTTTTGGGGATTTGTTCTTAACCTATTTTATTTATGGAAACTACATGCCTAATGGGGGGACTTAGAATATTACCAAGTATTCATCTAAGATAATTCAAAAGTTCTCTTAATTGAAAAAATTGAAATTACTTAAGACTAAGTAAAGTCTCAAACTTTTAACATGTATAAATTGAAAGTAAAACAATGATGAATGAAATTATAAAAGATAGGATGATGAGAGAGATATTGCCAATGAAAAAGCTTGCTAGAAGAAGAGAAAAGAAAAGAAATAAAGCATGTGTACCTTGCAAATATAAATGTTTATCTATAAAGCATTCGTTGGAAGAACTTTGGTGCACAAATCAATTTCTAATCCATTGTATATAATCTCTTTAATATTTTCACCTTCTAGATGATAGTCTATAGAAGGAATTTATCTACAATCTTCTAATATTTAAAATCTATACAAAAATAATAATACTTTATTATATATTTTATTATGGCCAATGGTATAAGTATTAGACTTCACTACTACACACAATGGAATGTTATAACATTGGATAATGAGGTATAAATTGATTTTCGAACCAAAAAAAATATATTATTTGATCTTTAGAATACAATGGATTTTAGTATAATATTTTTAAAGAAAGAATAAAATATCAACTAAATGGAGGTAGAGCTTTATTCTAACGTTTATTTTTATTTTTATTGAACAAGTTTAAAATTCCTTTTAGCATGTTTAAAACTCCTTTAAAAGAAAATAATTAGTTCATTAAATATTAAATCAATATATAATTTAACTAATATATGAGAAGTGATAGAGATGAGTATATATATTATTTCAAAGATACAATATTTTAAAATAGGCATAATCTAGATTATTGATAAAGTGTACCATTTGAAGGCTAATTTTATAAAATTATAAACATTTAGAAATCTTATGTATACTAAATTTGACTTTCATACAAACTAGATTTCTTTAGAAGACAGTCAATAAGTTTTGAATTTTCTTGCGTTTATCAATGCCTTAGTGGATAAAAAACTAATTTTAAAAACATCAATTATTTCTTTTAATTTTATTTATTTATTGATTTATTTATTTATTTTGCAACCATCTTCTTTTCTTTGGAATTATGGTATTTTGACATAATATACTATTTTTTACAACTTTAAAGAAAAATTCTTTAAGATATTTTATTGCTTTTTTATTTATAAGTAAGAAGATAAATTAATTTATTTTTTTATTATATACGAATTTTATAATTTTTTAAAAATATAGTATATAAATTTCTAATTAATAATATATTTTATATCAGAATCATTCAATAAAAAAAATTCATAACATTAAATATCAGATTTTTTTTTATAGCTCATATTTTTATTTTAAAAATATAATTAATATCATAAAATATTTAAGTAATTTTTTAATATTTAACTTAATTTTCAAGAAAACACTACTAAATTTATTTTTTTATGCATATAAATCATATATGAAATGAATGTAATCTCAAATCAAATTCCACAAGAATTTCAAGAATTTATAATACCATACAAAATACTTATATAATTATTTGAAATATATAGATATATATATATATATATATATATATATATATATATAACAACTTAAAAGTCGAACAAACCAACGAGATAATATCATGGACATATACCTAAAAGCTAATAATTACTTGAATAAATAGATAGAATTAAGTAGAAGTAGGTAAAAGTAAGTTAATTCTATAATATCTTTTATAGAAGCTTCTTAGAAGTTTCATAAATATTTCTTTGACTTTATAGGTATTTATAATTGACTTTTTGAATTAAAAAAGTGGTCAATAAGTTTGCCATGTGCCATACATGTTGTTAGCTTGAAGACCAAGCTAATTATGTAGCCCACACATAAAAAAAACTTACCTTGTAAGTCAAGGCTTCTATCCTACAAAGTCAAAACATATTGAAGGTCCTGTAGAACATTGCCACATAGCCTCTAATTAGATAGTATATATAGAGACAAGAGTGAAGTCTTCTTTACTCTTATCAACTCTTTTCTTGCTTCTAGTCTAGTTTCAAGAGTCTCAAGTTATCTTGTCTTTTGGAAATAAGCCATCTTGCCTTTTTTTTGATATGGATTTCATTTGTTTATGCATCATCTTTTAATTCATGTCCTTGAAAGATTGAGAAGAGTATATTTATAATATTAGAGCTTTGTCTTATCTTGATTAAGAGTGGATTATCCCTTTTTCATGATAAGACATAAGCATATTAGAAATTGTGGATTATCCTCTTCTAAATTGATATTATTCTTAGTATTTTCTTTGTCTTCAAGTCCTTTCTTTTACTTCTCTTAAGTAGTATTAGATATTTTCTAAATATTATTATGGCAGAGCTTATTGAAATGAAGAGTGGAATGGCACAAATGCTAGAGCAATTGAGGAAATTATTACTTGCAATGCATCAACTTAGTTTACTACTACAAGAATCAATAAGAATGGCAGGAATTAAAGATATAGAGATGATTAGAATTGCTTCAATATCTACACCAAATCATATCCCTCCACCTACGGTGAAACATCTTTTAAGTGTTAGAGAACCAACAGTTGCCTTGTCTAAGAAGTTTGATGGTACAAGATCCAAATTTTAAAGATTTATCAATCAAGTAGAAGTAGTAATTGAACTTCAACCTCAAAGCTATCCAATTCCAGGATGATAAGTTAGATTCATTGATACACTTCTTTCAAGTACAACATTATTGTGGTTTTTGTCTTTTCTTGAACAACGAGATCCAATAGTAGATAATTTGGAGGCATTTTTGGCAAAATTTCAATCCATGTATAGAGAACATGATACAACTCATGTTGCAACCTACAAGATCTATATTTTGCAACAAAGTAATGAATTTGTAATATTGTATGCTTCTCAATTTCAATAATTTGTAACTGATATCAAGTAAAATAATGTTGCACTTATTAGCCAATTTTTCTATGGATTACAGTATGAAGTAAAGAAATTGATGCTCAACTTACCTGATCTTCAAACATTGAGTCAAGCAATTGACTTTGCTGTGAAGTATGATAATTGACTTTTTGAATTTTGATCTGAGAGTCACGCAAGTACACCTCAACATTACTACAATTCAATGGCAATACCAACATTTCTTCTAGACATACATTCAAAAGTAGAGGGTATGCAAATTGATGCAGTATATTTTAAATATCTTATCGAGCAAGAAAAGACTTGTCGTCATCAACAAAGATTATACTTATATTGTGGAAGATCTAAACTTACTACTCAATATTGTCGAAAGAAGTGACGAAACTACAAAATGAGAAGCACAACTATCAAAGAAGACAATGTGTCAAAAAACGAATTTGTCCAACTACAATAGGGACCATGAAGTTGGAATCTTATACAATTTCTAATAAAGGTCCTATCTTCTTTTGAGAACCCTCTTCTTGATTCATAATAGATGTGCATTTAGGACCTAATAATTATTAAGTCTTTGCCTTGATAGATTCAGGAACCTCAGCTTGTTTCTTATACGTAGAATTTGATAAAAGTCATAAAATACTGTTAGTACAAAAAACTAAATCTGTTCATGTAGAAGTCATAGATGGTTGTCCATTGTCTTCTGGAGATATTACTCATGAAACACTTCCTATAGATTTAGCAATAAATGGTCATAATAGTTGTGTAATTTTTAATATAATTAGTTTTCCAAATAATTCAATCATTTTAGATTTATCGTGGTTAAAAAAGTATAATCCTTACATAAATTGGATTTCTCGTACTCTTGATTTTTCTAAAAGTATAAATAAGAGTGAAATTAATCCAATAAAAAGTCATAAGTGTAGCACAATAAAACTTGTGTTTGTAGGTATGAGAGTTTTTTTGCATATTGTAAAAGAATGATCATCTTGTGTCATTTACACCATACATATTTTTAATGATGCAAAGACTTCAAGTGGCATTCTAAGCCAATATTAAGAGTTTGAAGATGTATTGAGAAGAAGAATATGAATATTCTTTCAGAACATCGTCCATATGATTGCTCAATTGACCTTCAACAAGGAGCACAACCGCCATTTTGACTAATCTATAGTTTATCACAAAATAAATTGGGTAAACTCAAGGAATATATTAAAGAGAATTTGGCCAAGAAATTTATATACCATTCCAAATCGTCAACAAGAGCTCCAATTTTATTTATGAAGAAGAAAGATAGATCATTGTAGATGTGTGTTGATTATCGAGGACTCAAGAAGATCACCATCAAGAATATGTTCCTTCTACCTTTGATATCCGGACTTCTCGATCAACTGAATCAAGTTAAGATCTATACAAAAATTGTTCTACAAGGAATATACAATCTAATATGTATTAAAGAAGGAGATGAATGGGAGACTGTGTTTTGAATTAGGTATGGATATTTTGAATATAATATTATGCCTTTTGGACTTACAAATACATCTACAACTTTTTAACATTTAATGAATGATGTTTTTTGAGAGTTTTTGGACGATTTTATTATCTATTATTTGGATGACATCTTGATCTATTCTAAGAATACAGATGAATATAAACTTCATATTTGTCATGTATTATAAAAATTAAGAGTTTAGAGATTCTATGCTTAAATAAAAAAGTGTGTATTCTACACTACTCAAGTCAACTTTTTAGGATATATCATTTCAAATGATAGACTTGTGATGGATCCTAAGAAAGTTCAAACTATTATGGATTGAAAAATTCCAAAAATCATAAGAGATGTTCAATGCTTTTTAGGCTTTGCTAACTATTATCAGATCTTCATCAAAGGCTTCTCTCGAATTGCAGCCTCACTTATACATTTGACTTGCAAAGATAAACTTGAATAGAGCAAAGAAGTTAAAGCATCTTTTGAAACTTTGAAGTTGGCCTTTATTTCTAT